GTCTCGTATCATCAGCTGTCAAATAATCGCACTCAACGCCATTTATTTGACCCACCCACAGCAACAAAAACAACAGAAATGACCACTAAAACAGCAGGAAGACATGACAGCAGGCGATTAAGCCATAAGGCCAGAAAATAAATCAAACAAATTTCGAAGCATTTCATCCGAGAGTTCAAAAGTCTGGGGGAAGTGTAGGGAAAAGGCACACCTGTAACTGGGCCAATGCCAAAAGAACATCGAGTGGGAACTCAACAAAATCACTCACATTGGGATATATGAAGGAAAATAAGGTGTGACGCGGATTCATTCGTTTTGGCAAGCGAATTCATAACAAGAACGTCGAAAAATCATCAAGAAGGCGATGCTCGATTTTATATTCGAAAACATTTTGCATTATTAGGCTAGAAAATCAGCCAAATTATTTCGCAATATTTTTAAAAATAGTCCAAAACTGAAAGATCGAACATGTGGTTGACGAGAAATCATTCGAATCACCATATGTGGGGTCTGTTGTACTGCTGTTTCCATAAGTTCTCAGTTGGGGAAAGACTAAAGAAGGGGGGATCATCTATAAATAGGACAGGGCAGGGTTATCAGAACGTCACGCTCCACTGGGTCAACTTATAAAAAAGAGCCGACAAAAAAGATGAACGGGACTTTTAAATTTATGATGCCGTAACGGAAATACAATTTATTTAGCGTTTCACATGGTAATTATACAAACTATTTCATAACTTTAAGGAAACCAAAAATAATGTTGAATCACTGTTGTTCTTTATGGCAAATTTGAACTAATTAAGATAGATACTTTTGTGAAATAGATTGAGTTTCAGTCAAGATTGAAATGTATCTCTTTATAGTTGACTGATTCAGAAGGTTACACTAATTTTTTTCTGTGTAAAAAGTACGCCCAATAACAAACTTGATTGCTTCACGAGGGAACATTTCATTAAAAAGACATTTCACATATTAGTTTCGTAGAATGCAATTGGCAGGAGCATGGGGCTTTATTAAATTGCAATTAAAACCAATTAAGAACCAGCAGCTGACTTCCAAAGTGTTTTGTTTCATTTCAAGACGAAGTTGCACTCGAACTGAGTTTTCAGTGGAGTGTGATTAAAGGGGAGTGAGAGAGGGAGGGAGAGATTTGCACATGACAGCTGTTGAAATGGCAATGACAACTGGATGCAACATAGGAGTGAGCGGGAGAGGAGATGGAGGTGGAGAGAGCGTGGGTGAGAGAGGCAGGTAAATTCACTCGCGAATTGTTGTTATTTCATGCTCTCCCCATTTTCGCGCTCTTGTTGTTGTTGTATTTGACATTGTTACATATATTTTTGTTGTTTTTGGGTTTTATTTAGCTCGTTTTGGGAGCACTTTCGATTTCATTTTGGCGGCTTGTTTGCGGTTTTTTTGTTGATATTGCTGATCGATTGCGGCTGCTTGCCTTAATTAAATTCCGAACACACACACTCACACCCGCGCAGAGATTTCACAGCAGCACAGAAATCAGAAATTATTTTCGCTCGGCAAAATCTTGAAAGCAACTGAACAAGACGCTCGACAACAAACGCCGCCGAGGCTGCAAACACTCAACGCTCAACGCCAGACTCACTCCCACTCACATTGGCACTCAAAACATAGCCACTCACTCGAAATCGAAATCCATTTCGAGTGCAACTCACGCGCTCAGTTGCAAAACATTTACAGTTGTAGCAACAAACAGCAGCAAGAAGCAGCAGCAGCAATCCACTCGAAGAAAATTCACATCGACTCTTTAAACCACAACATGTTATAGCTTATGTTACCAAATATTAAATTTGCAAAAGGACCCATTATTTTTAAAACTTTGTTTTCAATTCAAAGAGACTTTTCCTAGAATTTAGAAAAATGTTTTTTTTCGAGTTTTCCTTGGTGTTGAGTAATTTTGGCCATTTGTTATTGCGTGGGTGAGTGTGTCACATAACTGGTGGCGCCACCTGGGGTCCGCCTTTGGCAACCCCTTTACCACTCAATTCCTGAGTGTGCTGCCTTTTTTTTAGGCTAAATCAATGAATCACTTGACTTTGAAACGAAAACTAAAATTAGTGTTAAACAACAAAAGCAACAAGCAGCCACAAATTGTTATGGCTTTTGTTCAGAATTAAGTGTTTTGTTTTATTTTCTTTCCTTTTTGTCGCTTTGATGACGACGATTTTGCTCAATTGGTATTTCGGTTGAAAAGGTGAACAATTTGTTTGTTTTGCCATTGGATTCACGCAGTATAAGAGATTATCTATAGGTAAAATAAATAGTAAACAGATGGCCACGACCTGTTCCAAGTCAAAGTCGTGGAAACGAGTTCTGGCTTTTTGATAAGCTCTCAGCAGCTTTTTGTTATTGGTCCCACCCAACTTCCGTACTATCTGTAGATCCCACTTTATGAGATCAACCGCCAATGTAATCAATCAATCGAATATTAGATGCCCTGAGGTGATCACCTCGGCAATTAGAATATCTTGCGTAATGCCAACCCAAACAGGTGTATACTGTCACTAAAAACGCTGCCAGACAAACTTATAGTTCAAATATGCAGATTATAATACACCTTTTTTGATTCTGAATAAAAATATTAATGGCAGAACTTTTTATAAACTTATTAAGCTTAAAATATTTGTTAGATATTGTTAAGATATTTGCTAGTTTTATCATTGCGAAACGCACTTTTTACACACGTATTGTGTCGTGTCTGGCAATAAATAGAACACAATTCGATTGGAAACCACTGACGCCCACTGGCGATACGAGCATCGGCTCAATGGGAACAATGATCTAATGATCTAATGAATGAAACGAGTAGTAAGGTCAGCGACTACCAGTCTACAGATTGTAATGCGAGTCCCACGCCGCAAAATTCAAATAGACTGAAGCTTACCGATTTTCATGTCAATATATTGACTGTTTGGCACTTGTATCAGTTATTAAACAAAATCCGATGAAGACCGCACAACGTCGAAATGCAAACTGAATGGGGAATATTCAAATCGTGAGCTGACAGCTGGAGAATACGATGAGAGTGCAATCGAGGTGTTCGTGTGTGCAATTAACATTACTCCAACCAGATGTAAACAAACATGCTATGCAAATACACTTTAAATATACAGGTGTCAATATCAAGATACTCATATCACTACGCAAAAATATATATTTTTGAAAAATTGTAACACAAGAGTTTTAGATCAAGGAGTTTATTTTTTTGAACTATATCAAAATTCTTAATAAGTTCTAAGAAAAAAACTAACAACCAAAACCAACAAATATAAAATATTTTGTACCATGTATTTCCTGTTTTAAAATTGCCAATATTTGAATTAAAATCAACCAACGAGTTCTTGAAGTGTATAAAAAACCCATTGCTTAGGGCAATCCCCTTAAAAATAAAGGAAAAAAAAACTAGCAATGAAATGCTTAACTTGTAAAGTTTACATTCCATGCAAATGTATACAATGTATATTGATTGCACCATTAGGTGTATGTTTGTGATGCAATTGTTTACACTTACTTTAATGATGATTTCCTTCAATACCCCCAGATTAAATCAAAGATTTTCACTTTTCATAGAAACTGCCAAAAAGTCAGCTTTTCGTAAAAAAAGAAAAAAAGTTGTTCCAAAAAATCCTGAAAGTATGCTAGATTTTTGGAGATGGTCTTAAAAGCTTTTTAAGATCGGAATTATTCGTAAACTAGCTGGTTAACGTCCTACCAACTTTTGCAATCCGAATTTGTTTACATATTTAAATAAAAATAAAACAAAAAAAACAAGTAGAACAACGGATTGCATTTATGGGGTAGAAATGAGCAATTCTTATCAGAAAACGAGCTGTTTCTCCTGTAAAAATATTCAAAAATAAATATAAATAAATTTTGTTATTATGGGGCAGAAATTAGCAATTTTAATCATAAATCCAGTACTTTTCCCCTTTATAAAGCATTTGAAAATGAACTCTACATTCATTAACCGCCGAAATGCTGAAGTACACGGTTCTTCTTCTTACATTATTGGCCATTGCCAAAGTTGGTATAGCTCGCAAAAAATCCAGATCAAAAGTTACCAAAGGTAGGGTGGACTAGCGAATTTTTTAAATTATATAAACAATTCCCTTTTTTTAAGACCACGCCGCTGGTGCTGATATCGAGTCGAAGACCTTTGTGAAAATCAACACCAGTTACTACTTTTTCGGCACAGAGTCCTTAAACTGGTATGCGGCCTATGAAGAGTGTCGGAAGCTTGATTCTGAGTTGGTAACGCTTGAAACTGACGAGGAATTCGATGCCGTTGCCGATTACTTAATTAGCAAGAAATTGTATCATTTCTATTGGACATCGGGTAATGATTTGGCCAAAACCGGAAAAGAAATTTGGTTTACTAGCGGCGAGCCAGTAACTTCGCTCAGGTGGGGCGCTGGTCAGCCAGATAATAGCGATGGTAAGGAGCACTGCATTCACCTGCGCTACAAAACAGATCCCAAGAGGTTCGATCTGAATGATTTTCCCTGCTCCGATGAAATAAGGTATATATGCGAGCCCCAAAAATGGAAACCGTATGGAAAAAAAATAAATAAATAAAAGAAAGCATTTTTTTTTTTTTGACTTAAGGCGAAATTGTTAACCTTTTTAAAAGTAAATAGAACCAAATTTAAAAATAAGTAGAACAAAGAATTGTACTTCTAGGCTAATTAGCAATTTTAATCCAAAATCGATTCCCCTTTATGAAGCCTTTGAGAATGAAGTCCGAAATGCTGAAGTACACGGTTGTATATATATAAACGGTATATATATATAAATATACCTAAGCTTCCTTTGTTTTTAATTAAATTTTTTGCTCAATTGTTTTTTGTTTTGGCCTTTAAGCAACAAAATTTAAAGATAAGTAGAACAAGGAATTGCAATTCTAGGGAATTAGCAATTTTAATCCAAATTGGATTGGTTTTCGCCTTTATAAAGCCTTTGGGAATGAAGTCTCCATTCACTTACCGCCGAAATGCTGAAGTACACGGTTCTTGTTCTAACATTATTGGCCATTGCCAGAGTTGGCCAAACTCGCGAAAAGTTCACCATACAAGTTAACGAAGGTAAATTTTACGGTGGGCCAGGAAACTAATCGAACTAAATAAAACTTCACCTCACATTTTTCTAGACAACGCCGTTGGTGCTGTAATCGAGTCAAAACCCTTTGTGAAAATCCATACCAGTTACTACTTTTTCGGCACAGAATCCTTAAACTGGTATGCGGCCTACGAAAAGTGCAGGGAGTTAGATTCTGAATTGGTAACATTTGAAACGGACGATGAATTCGATGCAGTTGCCTTTTTTTTGACTCGCAACGGATCGCGAGAGAACTATTGGACATCGGGTAATGATTTGGCCAAAACCGGAACACACAAATGGTTTACTACTGGCGAGCATTTAAGTTCGCTCAGGTGGGCCCGTGGTCAGCCGGATAATGCCGGTGGTAAAGAGCACTGCATCCACCTGGGTTACATATACGGCGACTCCACGAAGTTCGAATTGAATGATCGTCCCTGCTCCGGGGACCCCAATAGTTTGTTCAAGTATGTATGTGAGGCCCCCAAGATGGAGACCGTATCGATTGTAGTGTGGAAGTAAAAAAAAATAAATAAATAAAAGAAAGCACGTTCCTTAATAAACTTAAAATTTAATTGCTAAGAGCTAATAATGCTATTCCATGAATTGTTTTAAATTATTGGTCACGAATCGTAAAAATATAATAAACCTAACCAGTTTAAGTTTTTCTCTTCAGTTGCCAATGAAAAGTTGAGAAAAGATGTACTGAGTAGTCCTGATATTTCTAAAAATATTTGCCCACTTCCTTTGGATGTTTTCCATAAGGAATATAGTACTTACAGCCTGGTAGGATGCCCTTACTTCGGGCTGTGCGATAAGGTTGCCGCGCTCCCGGATCGATCTTTCCGTACATTGTTCTATCCATGATTGCAAACGATATTCACTTGTTTTGCTCACCGATTTGACTGAAACGTTAATGATTACTCAAGGAACTGTTTAGTGACATATTGTATTCTCGAAATCGTCAGGTTTATCTGACGTTGCTGCACTGCGACAGGCGAATAAAAAAAAAACAAAAAGTTTCATTTGAATTATTTATAAGCGCATTTTTATTTTTGGCCTTTCGGGGCACGACGACGGATTTGTCGTTTTTGTTTGCGTTGAGTTAGTCTGTCAGAGTGGATATTGTAGTTGTCGTTGTCGATGTTGTCGTTGTCTTTGCCCGTCTATCAGAGCTTTACCCCAATCTACTGGCAAAAAAATAAAAACTGCTCCTTGTCCCAGTGGAAGTCCAAGTGTCTTAATGTTGGAAATTGTTGTCTGGGGAGTGCTTTGTGCATTCGAAATTTGCTATTAATTGACTGGGACTGACAAAATACCGCATTAGAAGATTAAAGGGATACAGTAATGAGTGAAGGCTATACGTTTGAGTCCATAGGTATATCAAGAACTTTTTAGAAAAAATATTAATAGATGTGCTCGAAGCGTAAACAAAATCCATCATTCATCAAATTTACCTAAATTAAAAAAAACTCTAAATAAAAACGCTAGCTAATAAATTGAGGACGTATCCGATTTTGATAGTGATCTTCGAAGGCACGTGTTCAAAAAGAATGATGACTAAAGATCATATATGAGATCTAAAGATCAAAAGGCATTAGAAGAACGGATAAATTAGATCAGCGAACAAAATATCCGAATCATTTATTCAGACTCCCTAATCCAAAGTGTGTGGGTGAAACCCAATAGATGATCTATGCAACTAACGAAATTTACGATTGTCCGTAGATTTAGTTGAGCCAAACGGTCTATAAAGACAGATTTATGGAATCATAAAAATACCAAAACGAACATGCAGGCCACATTTTACATTTTTGTTTCAAACAAATAACGACACATTGGAAAAAGGTAAAAAATAATAAACATAAATTCACCGACTAGAAACAAAGCAAACCGAGCCAAAAACACTGAATTCGAGGAGGGAACGGGGAATCAAGGTTGCCAAATTACGTCAACACCATGATCGCCAACTAAAAATATCAACAGACAAAAAAAAGGAAAAACATTTCTAGCAAATCAAAGGCGACGTTTCGTCGTCTAATGAAGGGAAAGCTGAACTAGGAAAAAATTGGGAAATTAATTGAAAATACAGCGAGAGATTTCCGCACGGCTTTGCCAAAAGAAAAGAAAAAAAAAACAGAGAAAATCTCACTTTCGTTCCAGGTTCGCTAAAGCAAATCTATTTTCCTCCACACCTGAGGCATTACTCAGTCTTTTCTCGGATGACGTCGAGCTGAAATTGTGGGCAATTGTTTTCGGCTACGTTTTCCTTCTATATTTAAAAGTCGTAGGCACGATTTCGTTTCTTTCGCAGGAAATTCCAAGCGATCTACCGTCGACGATCTCAATATAAATATTTTATTAGTAAGTAGATAAAATGTGTGTGAATGCGAGTGTTGACCTTGCTAAAGGCGCTAAGGTGAAAAAGCAATGCGTGCCCCGGGAAAAAGCAAAAAAGCAATCGAAAGCACCAGCCCAACGAAAATTCATGTGGGTGATATGGATCACAATGGGCGATCTCTCCTCCGGTTAGTGGCCTTTGGCCAGATCTTTCAATAAACTTGGCCAATTTATGCGCGCTGTAAAATGGATTTTCCACATTCCACTTCCACTGTAAAAAGGCGGGAAATGCTTTAAGGTATCGCCCACTGAGTATCCGAGTGTGTGGTATTCGGGGTCTTGATTAGATAGTGGGGCTTACACGATGATCAAATTAAAGTTGAACGGATTAAAGTATTTTGTGGAATTAAAACGTACTGGTTTTTGATTTATTTGATCACTGAAAGCTTGATTGTCTCAATTTGTCAAAATACTTTGAAAACTATTATGTTGAAATATGACAAATGCAACAAATGCTATAAATAATAACAACTTTCTGACAACACTAAACGATTTCAAAATTCTATCAAGTCTCTCTCATCGTTTCCAAGCAACCGAAACAAAACACTAATTGAAATTTTATGAGAGGCTGATAAGAATCATTCGAAAACGGGGAGCAAAATAAAGAGGGACTTGTTGAACAATCAAAAATTCAAACTCAAACCTAGCGATGAACTCATTGCACTACGAATGCGATGGAGAAAAATCTAGAGGTGCTAAGTAGCTGGGATTAAAACAGGCTTTGAGTTTGCCAACAGTGTTCAAAAAAAGGGGAAAAGCGGGAAATAATCCAGAGATCAGTGATCGGTAAGTTGTTTGCGGTTTCAGATCGGAACAAAATAGACAAAGACAGCAGCTGTCCGGTCGTAAACAAATGGCACAAACTGAGCGTATCTGAGAGATAAAAAGATATTGGGGGAAAAAAAAACGAAAACGAAAGCGATTCTCATAAGTGCAGAACTCACAACAAAATGTTTATTTGTGAGCACTGTGTCAGCCGAGTTTACATCATTTTCCAGCATTTCCATTTGCTGTCGTAACTCGAGATAGTTTTTCGAGGGAGGGAACGGAAGTCCCCCCATAAATGCACTTTGCTTCGAGTGCTTGAAATATGTGAAAAATGTCATAATTTTAATAGATTAAGTGGGCACATTTTAATTGGTTTTGAATTTTGTTGTTATTGTTCTGTTATTTCGAGCATTTCCCTCCAGAAGAAATACCAAATTCATTTTTATCTCAACGCCCACGAATTTAATCCGTTCGCGGACCTGAGGCGAAAATTAATGGGGCTAACAAAAAATTCTATACTCTGGCAGATCGGGGCAAAAAAGCCATCTATTTGGATGTCTTTTCCGTTGATAATTAGTTCCATAATTAGTGGAGATGCTAATGAAATTGAAATGTTTTTCGAACAACTTGGCCAAAAGATTTGCCAAGAATTAAAGGAATCTTATGGCGAGTGACACGGGTCCATTAATCTTGACAAATTTATGATTTTATTTTTATCTAGCTGCTACTAGCATTCCAACTTTATCTTATATCTCATTTATTTTTGCTATCTCTTCGCGTTTGTCAACGTTTTGCAACGGATTTTTCATGCACTCAAAGGAAATAATTTCCCACGCTCCAACCTGCCGCAATATCACTAACACAGTTCCAATGGATTTTCATTAACTTTTTTCCGCGTTAACTTCGCACTTGATTGATTGCCTTGTGTTTTGTTAAGGCTCTATTTTTTTATTCTTTTCCGCGGTCTTATCTGTGCACTTTTGGCTGCACTTTGGCAGTGTTTTGTCACATATTTTGTTTATTAATCCGCAGCTGAAGGAGAACGTAGGACGCGATTGGGAGACCGAAAGACCGAGAGACCCCAAATACACACGCGCTGCGCTCGCGTCTCAATAAAAGCGCGCAATCGACTGAAATCCGAAGGGGAGCCAATGCTCGGTCTGCATTAGAAGAACTCTCTGGCTCTCGCAGTCGCTCAGCAGAGAGGAGACCACGAGAGCCCCAATGTTTGAGAGCAAGTAAACAAAGTGCACTCAAAAAAATGTATTTCTCAAAACGTGTACATTTTATGTGAAGTTTAAATAATAAGTATGTATATAAGTAATGTATCTTTTTGTTAATCCCAAAATATGTACAAGAAAGAAAGTTGATTATAAAATTTATGTTTTTTGTATTATTTTGTTTTAAAACAGTTTTTTAATACAAAAAAAAATAATTATTTGAGTCGATTCTGTTTCTCTAAGTGACAAGAGAGCCATTTGGCAAAAGAGAGGAAAAGCAGTGGTCGCTTTTGAGTCGCTTTTCATTTGCTTTTGGAATGGCTTTTCATTGGGCTCTGCGGCCTGCGGCGGAGCATCTCGACCGCAAGTGGGAGGCACAAGGAAAAGGAAACCAGAGCGGACAAAAATATTGTCGCCCGTTTGGAGCTTTCCTTTCGGTGTGTGAACAGTGGGCCAGTTGCCAATAAACGCGACCTTTCCTTGGCAAACAAGATATATATAAGAAACGTGAGTCAAAAACAAATAAAATCCCTTTTAATTGAAAGAAAAGAGAAAAAAAAATCAATAGCATGTCGGCTTATAAATTTTTTTATTTAAGTCGATTCTGTTGTATTTTTATGCAGTCCTTTAATTACATAAGTGTAAGTACGCAAATTTAACGATTTAGGAAGGGCACATTTATACAAAGTTTAACACACGATTGTGTGCAAATTTGTTAGCCATGAAAGCCGATCTTGAAATATAAGTTATAATCCCACTGTGCAAGGTTTATTCCCCAACCATAACCGAGCGCTATCTTCATTGTGCCGCTCCAGCTTCACTCTCGGTGGAAAACGACCCTCAAGTCCCAGACTTAACCGATCTCGACAGATCATCTCGTCACTGCTGTTACAGTGCACACACGCAACACGAACAGAAGACATTGCGTGTCGAGTGGGCGATGAAGTGGGCGCACACTCACTAATGGCTGCAGAGCTAAATTGATGCAATTGAAGCCGGTGAAGAAGATCAAGAAGAAGATGGAGCTGGGGATGAAATCCCAGCTTCCTGTTCCAATTCATTGACATTTATAGTTTACCACTTTAAACTAAAGAATTAAGTAAATAATGCAAATATCTTAAAAAGGAAAATGTATTTTAAAGTTTAGTTTTAGTTAGACAAAACTTATAGATACTGTTTGACATTTAGAAAGATACATTTGTATCTTGTGAATGCAAATTATGGGGATCTTCAGACCACTGTGCAAAGGTGGAGTGTCAGTCAGCTGGAATTTTTCGAGAGTATTTGTGACCTGGCCTTTACTCATTTCTTAAGAATGTCTGGGCCGAAAAAAACAAGATTACAAATGAAGAAATGGCTGCACTTCCACGAGTGGGTTTTTCTTTTTTTTTTACTTTATCAAAAGACATTCGGAAGAACACGAGGAGAGACTGTAAACAGCGAAGAATTGTGTCATAAAGAAAATAAAGAACGGCCGATATACTTTTATTTCGCTGATGGTGACTAAAAGAGCACTATGTGGCAACAAAAGAAAACAAATAAAGCTGCCGGCAAATCTCTCTCTCCCAGATCATTCACTAAAAGTACAAGGGTTTTGAATAACCACACCCTCGCTCCATTGGGGTATTGTGAATGATCTCACACTGGAAGTGCGGCTCTTGATGCTTTTATGTTCAAATTCCAGGAATTCGGATAAGTCATAAAAGTGCAAGGAATGCAAATTGTGTTAAACGAAGTGTGCTATATTGTGTGGGAGCCCCTTCTGAAATTGCAAAAACAAATTCGTATGTACGGGTTGGCGATAAGACGTGCACTTGGAATTCATCATCCAGAATTAAACGTCACGTAACACAACCGTTTTTAATCGTGATTAATGCTTGTATGCTAACGATAAGAATTTCGAAATACAGTATATATTGGTCAATGGGAACTACACCTCGAAAGGCAATGCATTTTTTCATTTTTGTTGGCACATCCCTAGAATGATTTGTTTGGTGTATTTTTATTGTGTATGACAAGTTCGAACAGGAAGTTGATTCATTTGAATACCAGAAGCAAAACATTTGCTTTTTATCAACAAACCAACACCGCATTTTCAAACTGCACGTTTATTATTAATCTTGTTTTACTGTACCGAAAAATATTCATCCGTGAAATTTTCGACTTTCGGTGCCGCCACCTGGCGGCCAATGCCCGAGACCCCTGCGGCATGCTAATTAACTTCAATTAACGACTGACCTTGAAGTTGGAGCATTATCTTAGTGGTTTTTGCCTACGTCACACGTTTTATGCTACGGAATTCTTTAGTTCAGGAAGTCTCTCTTGCTTTTCTTTTCGCTGAGGAAAAGTGGACCACTCACCCAAATCGTCCATTATGTAGCGTTGTTTTTGTTCCGCTCTGCTGATGTATAAGTGAGTGTATTTTCCGCTCCTCCCCAATTCTTTAGCTTAGTTTATCGGATTTATTTGGCACAGGCACACGCGTTTTTAATTGATGCTGATTGAAAACGAAGAGCGAAATCCACGCAAACACTTTTCTGTTATTTTTTGTCGTTCGCGCGGAGTTGGAATCGAGACTAATTTAAAGCCGTTGCCAGCGGACGAATGGCGAGTATAGGTGGACCTCGTCGCGAGTTGGAGACGAGTTTTATTATATGAATCACTTTAATTTTGGAGCGGCGGCGGCGGTCATAAACAATACAAAAAAACATTGGAGCACGTACACGTACACATACACGAGCACCCCCCCAACACACAGACGCGTCCAATTGGGCTTCGCGAGAGAGGCAAAACAGCTGATTGCCTATCGATAGGTGTCGGTATCGGTAAAACTACCGCGGTGCAGCGCGCCACTCATTAATTCTTTAAAATACGTTACTTATGTTAATTATTTCCTTATTTGCATTTAAAAAATTAATATTTAATTTTTTTTAATTAAACAATAAATAATTTTATAAATTTATTAAAAATTAAGAAGAGGAATGATAACCTAATCTCAACCATAACCAGATTGAGGTATTTTTACCCGTTAGTTTTGTTAGCTTATAATAATTTAATTTGAAAGCCTTCAAGTCACTCTTAAAATTTAAAACCAACCGAAAAATACCAAATATCAATGCCAGTTAAGTCTTTCTGTCTATAAATTGCCTTTTATCTATGGTCAACAATGATTAGTTAACAATCTGCAATATATCTCGCATTTTCAGTCTGTATAAAGATTAGGCGGATCCAAGACGTGAATGAGAAATGGAAAAAAGAAGTGAGACACCGATAAAAAGCACAAAGTTTCGAAAACTGAGCGATGCGGACATGACGGAGGTTCAGCTAAACAATTTGGATTCTGGCGTTAAGGATAATGTCGAAACTGGAAGCTCCCAGGGGATTGATGGATCAAGAAATAGTGTCGTGCAAAATTCGAAATGGTTCAGATCCAGACTCTTTATCATATCCGTGGTTTTCTCTGCCCTTATAATTACAGCCATGTGTATTGGCTTTGTGGTGCACTACGGAATGTCCGGCGATGTGGGCGACATGGAAACGGTGACCTTTTGGAACGTAACGCTGCCCAAGGAGCAGCAGGAGTGGTACGACCAAGGAATCGATGAGCTAAAAAAGGCCGTATACCGGGAATTTAATCGAAGACGAGCCAAGAACGTAATACTCTTTGTGGGCGATGGCATGGGACCGAATACGGTGACAGCAGCTCGTATCTACGGATTCAAGGAGGAAGGACTCCTCAGTTGGGAGCGCTTTCCGGACATGGGACTACTGAAGACCTACTGTGCCGATAAGCAAGTTCCGGATTCCTTCTCCACGGCTACCGCGCTTTTTGGCGGAGTCAAGGTGAACTACGAAACCGGCGGAGTGGACGCGAATGTGCCACTAGGAAACTGTACCGCATCCTTGCAGAAGGATCACCATGTCCAGACGATTCTCAGATGGGCTCAGCTGGACGGAATGAGAACAGGCTTTGTGACCACAACCCGGGTAACCCATGCCACTCCGGCGGCGCTTTATGCCCATGTGGCCGATCGCCGCTGGGAGTGTGAAACCGGAATGACGGAAGAGGCCCGGAATCAGGGCTGTATGGATATAGCCCGTCAGCTGATCGAGCAGCCCACTGGTCAGAGAATCAATGTAATAATGGGCGGTGGTCGTCAGATGCTCGTGTCCGATGTCGTCGATTCACCAGCCGATCCCTTGGACACTTGGGCCAGCAAATCGGCGGATGGACGGAATCTTATCCAAGATTGGAGGCGGCTGAAGGAAGAGGAGGGTGTTACGCATGCCGTCATCCAAAACAATCGTGAGTTGTGGAATCTCAATGGCCAGAATGTTGACTATCTACTGGGCATATTCGCCAATGGCCACCTTATGTACGACTACGAGCGAGATCGGAGTGAGAACGGAATGCCTTCTTTATCAAATATGACTCTGAAGGCGCTCGAAGTTCTGGGAAACAGCGATAAAGGATTTCTGTTGGTGGTGGAAGCTGGCCTCATCGATCAAGCACATCATCGGGGAAATGCCCGCAAGGCACTTCATGAGGTTCTCGAGCTAAATACGGCTGTTGAGTCCACGCTTGCCTTCCTCAAGTCCACGGATCGATTGGATGAAACTCTAGTAATAGTAACAGCAGATCACTCGCATAGTTTAACGATTAACGGACATCCTGATAGAGGCTCCAGCATATTGGGTCTTGCGGGAAATTCAAAGACAGAACAAACCCCCTACACCACATTGACTTATGGCACTAGCTATAAAGGATTTCAGGTGGATCCCGAAACCCAGAACCGAAAGGATCCCACGAGCGATAATATAACCGATTGGGACTACACCCAACAGGCAGCTATTAATACAGACGAAAATCTCCACGGCGGATCCGATGTTACGATTCACGCCGATGGAGCCATGTCCTATCTTTTCCACGGCGTCCATGAACAAAGCTATGTAGCCCACGCCATTTCCTACGCCCTGAGGATCGGACGCTTCCGGGACAGTTCCATCGCCGAAACTTTGGCTGAGCTAACGCCTTTATAAATATAGATAAATCCATTTACTCTCAGAAATATTAAGAAATATGTTTACGAAAACAATATTTTGTTAAGCGGCAGAAGCTAAATATTTACGTTGACCTGATTATAACAATCTGTTGGTGTTTAAGAATTTTAAGGAAAATGAAGGTTGAATCAATTTAAATATACAGAGTATTAAACTTTACTTTATTTACCGCTCTGATTAAGAAAAAAATAAATCTTTACTTAGTTGTTTAAAATATCTTTCCTCCTTTTATGTATTAAGCAGTGAAACCTGTAAGAGAAGTTGCTATCTCAACAGCCAAAATAAGAATTTTATTAGAGTCTAGCTGAAAGTGAACTTGAAGGCTTGTGTCTACACAAATAAATCAAAATAAATTGTTTTTAATAAAAAACATTGTTTTTCTTTTTACTTTATAGTTTGAAATGGACCTTTTGAACGAGGATTGTCTGGATCACATATTTAGCTATCTTGATCTTGATAACCTATTTTACCTCTACAATGAAATTCAGTGCTTTGATGGAGCCATCGAAAGACAACTCTTTCGATTTAAGGATCTCAAATTCAGCATGAGGCAACCTCCTGTGTTTCACAAAGATCTAATGGTTAAACTGGGTCACCACCTGAACAGTCTGCACATTAACGTGGGATACTCCACCAGGGACGAGCATATCCTGCGATACCTGAAGCCTCTGTGCCAAGGAGCCTCTGAAAGTGGAAGACTGAAAGCCTTAAAATTGGATCACGCCAAGTTTACATTTGATGTATTGAGCACCGTGGCCCAGGTGGTTCCATCGCTGGTATTTTTGGACATGCGTCATTGCGATGTGAGGGATTACCAGATAGCACAGCTCTTGGAATCGGCAGATAAGTTGAAGGCGCTCTCTCTGCTCCATGTCAACAATCAGACGGGAGATTCTTATCTGGAACCCCAAATACTCAATAGGTTGCCATCTCTGAAACTCATCCACATCACAATCTTGGGTCCTACTCCCTTTTCTCCCGAAAATCTGGCCCAGCATTGTCCCAACTTAAGTTTCCTAATAAGTGACTTAATCAATGGAGATTTCAAGATATATGGTCCCCCTCCAATATTCAGAACTATTATAAGTACTACAAGGATTATTTCCAAACGTTTTAAAATCGTATTGAAAGATCTCGGAGGTGTTGATTAATTCAAAATTTGTGTTTTTGATATTATGATATGTAAATTTAGCATTTACTAAACAGGGACTTCTTTGCATTTACAATAAATTTGTAATTTTTATAAAGATTTTTGTTTGCCAAATGTTGATAAAACAAATAAATTTAACAGATCATTGAATTGAACATTTTTTAGATTTTTAACTGGCAAGACATCGATAGTTGCATAAATTATATACTCGATTATTTTAATCCCAATACTGCACACTATGGATGAAACTAAAAAAACGGAAGTCTGAACAGCCTATTAGGGGGCAGCACAGTTTCAAGAACTAAAGCTTTTGGGGTTTTAAATTATTCACCGACTGGTAACACTGCCGTTTCATGCCGGCACGAAATGCTTAAAAAGGCTGACGAAATAATAACAATAACTCTATAAATAGAAATTCCTACTGCATTTCTGTGGCAAGTACATCCTACAAAGAGCAGGATGGTGGTGCGTCCGTACAACGATGAGCTCAAGTACCTGGAGAAGGTGAGCGACCACTGCTGGCGGATCAAGAAGGGCTTCCAGCCGAACATGAATGTGGAGGGATGCTTCTATGTGAACAGTCGCCTGGAGCGCCTGATGCTCGAGGAACTGAAGAACTCCTGTCGCCCGGGAGCAGTGGGAGGATTCCTGCCGGGCGTCAAGCAAATAGCCAATGTGGCTGCCCTGCCGGGAATCGTGGGTCGATCCATCGGATTGCCCGACATTCATTCCGGTTATGGTTTCGCCATTGGCAACATGGCTGCCTTCGATATGGACGATCCCTTATCGGTTGTGAGTCCCGGAGGTGTGGGCTTTGACATCAACTGTGGCGTAAGGCTGCTGCGCACGAATCTCTACGAGAAGGATGTGCAGCCGGTGAAGGAGCAACTGGCGCAGTCGCTGTTCGATCACATACCCGTGGGCGTGGGCTCCAAGGGCATCATCCCCATGAATGCCCGCGATCTGGAGGAGGCCCTCGAAATGGGCATGGACTGGTCTCTGCGGGAGGGCTATGTTTGGGCGGAGGACAAGGAGCATTGCGAGGAATACGGCCGAATGCTCAATGCCGATCCCGCCAAGGTGAGCATGAGGGCCAAGAAACGAGGACTGCCGCAGCTGGGAACGCTGGGGGCGGGCAATCACTACGCGGAGATCCAGGTGGTGGACGAGATCTACGACAAGTGGAGCGCCTCCAAGATGGGCATCGAGGAGCAGGGCCAGGTGGTGGTCATGATTCACTCGGGCAGCCGGGGCTTCGGCCACCAGGTGGCCACCGATGCTCTGGTGCAGATGGAGAAGGCCATGAAGCGGGACAAGATCGAGACCAACGATCGACAGCTGGCCTGCGCCAGGATCAATTCCGTTGAGGGGCAGGATTACCTAAAGGCCATGGCAGCGGCTGCGAACTTTGCCTGGGTCAACCGCAGCTCCATGACATTCCTCACCCGCCAGGCGTTCGCCAAGATGTTCAACACCACCCCCGACGATCTCGACATGCACGTCATCTATGATGTCTCGCACAATATTGCCAAGGTGGAGAACCACATCGTGGACGGCAAGGAGCGCAAGCTGCTCGTCCACCGCAAGGGCTCGACGCGCGCCTTTCCTCCCCATCATCCCCTGATCCCAGTGGACTATCAGCTGACGGGACAGCCAGTCCTGGTCGGTGGAACCATGGGCACCTGCAGCTACGTGCTGACTGGAACAGAGCAGGGCATGCAGGAGACCTTTGGCAGCACCTGCCACGGAGCGGTAAGTTTATATTAAAATTTTTGGTAGTCTTTGTCATTCGATGCGCATTTCTATACCCGTAAATGAATGACTCATTTTAAATATTTAGGGTCGCGCCTTATCTCGCGCCAAATCCCGCCGCAATCTGGACTACAAGGAGGTGCTGGACAAGCTCGACCAGTTGGGCATTGCGATTCGCGTGGCTTCGCCCAAGTTGGTCATGGAGGAGGCGCCCGAATCCTACAAGGACGTCACGGATGTGGTTGACACTTGTCATGCGGCGGGCATAAGCAAGAAGTGCATAAAAATGCGACCCATTGCTGTTATCAAGGGCTGATCTTAATTTATTATTGTGATTAAATCAATAAAGATTTATAATTATAAACTAAATTCATTAAGTGGGTAAGTGTTTTTTTTCCACTGATGCAATTTGTTATTAAAAGTTCGAAACATGTTTAACGAATATTCTATATTATTTTTATAATTTTGGCGCCGCCAGGTAAGAGCTAATGGTCACCCTAAATCGTCGCTCTGTTAACGGCACAGTTATTTTGGAATCAACCCAATGTTAAGCCGTGAGCACCGCCGGTCTGTTAGTTGTCAGCTGACAGCCCATTCAATTGGACCTGCTCCACGGCGCGGATTTCGGTTGAGCTTCGCGTTTAAATTCGTTCTAACAAAAATCATGAATTGACGTTTTTTTTTTAACAATACTCGACAGTTGTAATTAGAAAAGTGCAGTAAATCGATCGAGAATCGTGTGCAAATTATATAGAAGTGTCATTATAAACCGAGAGCCGCTTTCAGCTGCGCAATAGGGAAAAGCTAAAGAAATCTACACACTGTTGCCGGGTTTAATTGTAAGAATAAACAAACACAGCCAATATGACAAACATGCGGCCACCGCAGAAATCCAAGTTGCTGAAGGTCGTCATATTGGGCGATGGGGGGGTTGGAAAATCCGCCCTACTCAATCGCTTCGTTTCAAATCGCTACGAGGAAAACAATTTCCACACCATCGGCGTGGAGTTTATGAACAAGGATATAGTCGTCGACGGAGAGCGCTATACACTGCAGGTAATTCGATGTTATATAACGAAATAATGTGTTACAAAATTACGAGTAAATACCACAAATCAATAGAAACTTTTTTGCTTACTTTTGGGGCCATCTTTTGCAACTTTTATGGCGAATGCAACAGTTGTGCAAGATAACAACACGCCAAGCGTAGTTCCTTTATAATTAGTATTTCCTCCCCCTTATCTCTTCCCTCGTCCACTTTTGGCCCCACGATCCCCAATCCACCGGCATTTCGTTGATGTGAACACTTAAAAACTGAACAACGATTGCGCTTTGTTTTGCTCTTCCTATCATTCGTATAACAGTGGGCATGCAGAAATTCAAGAATTCTAAAAAGTATGGCCTTGGATTAGAAGAAAAAAAGTGATTTAATTTGTTGAAAATTTAAATGTGTACAACACCACACAGAATCTTAGACTTCAATTAAAGTTGCTTTCAAAGAGAATTTTTCGTAGAATGCCTTGCATTGATATTAGTTAGTTTTCCGGGTAACTTAGAAATAACAACAATAATAATAAATGTGGTTCGGATTACCTAAGTCTATCCACTGTACCTTTATATTTGTAGCAGTATCTATTCCATCTGCCCCATGCCCACACACACTTTTAGGCATTCAATTTCCACTCAATTAACGTGGAGCTTGGCATTGCAAAAAACAAAACCGAAATAATAACAATAATGACAGTTTCTCTGTTCGGTTTACAAAGTAGAGACTCTGTTTCATCCGCCGCCGGATTTTCTGTTCTCAGTCTCAGTCTCATCCACATCGTAATTGTTTTTCATTTATGTTGTCACTTGTGTTTTGAGTTATCGAAGCCAAAACAAAATATTGTTCACAGTTCGCCAAGCTCGGAAAACTTATGAATATTCAAGTGGGTCTGAGTGAGTGAGCAAATTGTTGCAAAGGTGACGCGAATCGGAATAATGATTCTAATTGAACCCTCCGATTTTGCGATGTATAGAAAGTACGGGAATGCAGATTGTTAGATGAGTAATCCCAGGAGAATTTCGCATATTTTGAAGCTTCAGAATCTAGACAAGATACATACATATGTGTTTTGGGGCTCACTGAGCCATGGAAGAACTCTGGGAAATGAGGGCTTCCCAAAGCCGGTTCTGCAAAAAAAAAAAAAAATTAGCTAGGGTGTTTTTTACTGTCTATAAATATTCCAGTTACCATGGGAAGCACTAACACTTTTGAAAGGTCAGTTTACTCATGACTTTCGAGGTTTAAATTTGTATACCCTTGTAGGGGTTAATAACATTATTCATATGTTAACATTTGACAAGTTTTTTTAATGGTCATTAATAATTGTTAAAATCAATATAAACATAGTCAGGATTGTGTCACAATTTGAAAAGTGTAATGTTTTAATTGCAAAAAGTATTTATTATTCAAATTCAACTACTTATTTTTTTGTCTAATTAGCTTATCGCTTACAATTTCTTATCAGCTGAAGGTTCTCCTGACTAGTTCTAAAACTAAATATTTGTTTGGCACACAAATGGTTGGTTAGTGAGTCAGTTAGACAAAGCCCTCTGATTTTGGCCACTTGCACTATTTCTCAGCCAGTTTATTTGTAAATTAAATGCAAATTGCAATAGAGCGTTAATTGAATCGTCAATTCAATCAAACTTAATTGACGCCTTTGTTTGATTTTGTATTTCCCCGAACTATATAGATATGGGATACGGCTGGCCAGGAACGATTTCGAGCACTCCGCACACCTTTCTACCGGGGATCGGACATCTGCCTGCTGTGCTATGCCCTCGATGATCGCGACAGCTTGAGGGGATTGGGTATGTGGCGCAACGAGTTCATCAACTATGCAGACGTCGACCAGGACAAGTTTCCCTTCATTGTGGTGGGAAATAAGGTAACTAGAAAGTTAAGAGCTTAAATCCTTTAACTTTGATAAACAGAAGTATTTCATAGAACATAAGTTTCAACTTAATTGGGAACTTAAAAGAATTCTAAATATTTTAAGTCATATTTGATTTTCTATTATAATGGTTTTCCACCTTCCAGAACGATCTTCCTGCCCAGAAGCGACAGGTGTCCTTCGAGGGAGTGCAGCAGTGGTGCGCCGAGCAGAAGATTGCCTGCCACATCGAAACCTCCTCCAAAGCGGCCACCAATGTGACGGATGCCTTCGTCCTTGGCCTTCGCCAATGGCGACACATGGAGTGCGTGGCGGAGGCCGAACTGCGCCAGCATGGTGACACCATTGACCTCACCAGCCCCATTCGTCTGGTGCAGCGACGCATATGTTGCACGGGCGGCGGCGGAGGAGGAGGCGGGAACCAGGATGCGGATGGCCACGATGACGCCATGCGGAGTCCGGGCAAGAAGATGTTTGGACAAAAGCGCGACGCCGCAAAGGCGCCAGCCACCAATTATAGGCTATGATTGCGGACAGACTGGAGCTGTCAGGGGACTTACGCTTAATTTAACCACTTACCCCACCGGGTTGACCTTGAATGCATTCCATTCTGCGACGGGGAAAGTGTCCCAGACCAAAAAGTAATCAATGCTGATAACATTTAAAGCGATTACCCTGAAGTTGATGATATTCTAAAGAATGTTTGCTTTTAAAAATTATTAAGGACGAATAGCACAGCATAACAGAAAAGATCTGCTTTAAGATATATGTTTTTTGTCAAGGATCAAAAAATAGGTTTTATAAGAGTAATTGAATCTAATATTTGTCAAACTATTGTACTTTTTATTCCCATTTGTAATAATATCTTTAAATTGGTTTCTGCTGTTTGTAAAACAATTTTTTGCTTTACACAAAACAATGTAGCTGTTATACAGTAAAAAAAAGTCTAGTTAGTTAAATATTTTTCTACTGTATAACAGTAATAAGCTTTTGGTGTCTTAAATAACACACAAAATTATACCGTATTTATAAATTACAAAAGGCGAACAAATTTTGGATATGTATTGACTACATACCTATTTTTGTACAGAAAGTAAAATAAAATTAATTGATGTGCCTTATATTTATTGATCTGAAAATTTTGCTGAAGAACCATTGAATTCCGTTTCAAAAAATTAAACCAAGTACCACAGATCAATTTAAATGTGTTTTATATTTCAACAATTTGTTTAAAATGTACAATAGTAACATGGTATAAATACGCTTACCCCGGATTAAAAATATAATATGTTGGCATAACACTTTTTCTGGATGCGATCGAGACCGGAGACCGGAGCCTCGGATCCTGATTAAGACTAAGGCAAACTCTAGGCGCTATTCACTAACAGGACAAGCGTATGACAGATCGAGTGCTTAACTATAACGTGTGCTTAAAATTGCTTCTTGGGGGAGATTTATTGTTTTATCACTTGCAGCACAGCTGGCGAACTGGGTTCACTTCTTTTTGTATCCATAAGAGTTGATGGTATCAAACTCGCTGTCGCACTTGAGGAGCAACTGGTACCACTCGTCACCATCGATCCGCTTGGCCTCCCGGATTCCTCCGTAGGCGGCTGGCAGGCACTTGGGCGACATGTACTTGTGCAGGGACTCGCGATCGGTGCCATGGAATATGATCCGGCTGCGCAACTTCTCCTTGAGGAAGGGCTTGAACAGGGCGAACACCACCTGGAAGATCTTCGGCTGGTTCACAATGTGAATCGCCTTGATGCGGAGTGGCACCGAATCCTGCAGCCAGTCCACAATTCTCTTGGCGAAGGGCGGCGTGAATTGCCAGGTTTGCTGCAAGCTGAGACCATCCATGTCGAAGATCACCACTGCTCCGCAGATCTGCGTCTCCGGCTCCAACATGGCAGCCTCCAGGAATAGAACGGCTCCCTTGAACACCTCATCCAGGGTCACCTGCTTGTGCTTCCAGCGCTCTAGAATTAGAGATCATAAATTAGTAAAGTTGCGGATATTTTTATGATGCATTTAATAATGATAATAAGTTGTCAGTAATTTTGAAAAGCTCATTTGTCGCGGTTCAAATTTTAGATCAACTTGTTGTAATGATAATCATTACCAGCAGGTTTTATTATCACCTAACAAAAAATCATTAAAAAAAATGTGTTTTCGGCAATAATTCACAAACTTGGTTAAACTTTTACATACTCATTAAAAACAATAATAATAAAACCATTGAGAGTTAAGAATGTCAAAAGAATAGCTTCTTAGAAAAGTGAAGTTTTAGCACCTCAACTTTTAGTTTTTTTTAACTATTACTGTTATTGAGCAAAAAGTATTATTTATTTAATTTACTTACTGCCCAATTCCAGGACCAAAATGCGACGTCCCAATTGATCTCGATTGGGAAAGACGGTGAGTATGTTGTGCTTGAAAATGTTGGCCTCGTTTGATGGCTTCAGGTCGTTGTAAACATCAGAGTGTTTCACCTTGAAGGCGTAGTAGCGCTTAATCTGTTAAAAAATAAAACATAGCATTAAAATCGACATTTTTCTATTAAACATTAAACAAAACTAACCAGATCTCGAGCACTCTCCGGATAATACTTGCAGGGCCGCAGATATCGAATCAGCCACTCCTCGTTTCCCTTGGGATAAAGCAAATCGGTTTCCGCTAAAATAGAATCAATAAATTTATCAGTCACACCTTCAATCAACTCAAAACTTAAAAGTCACAAGGTGAAAAAAAAAACTACAGGCATTAAGTTGATCAATATGCAATTAAAAAGTAAATGTAATTTAGCAGTATTATGCAATCCTCTCGAGGGCTTGCTACTTTTAACCTCAACTTGTTATTAATGACATGGAACCGCCAACTAATAATTTAGAACTGTACGATCAGATGTTGTATAGAAATAGATTTGTTTAACGATCGACTGAATGGTTGTAAGTCTCAGGGGTGGCGAACAACTTTACTGATTTTACAAACAATTACATTAATCTTTTAGATCTTGTTTATTAAATATTCAGTTAATAACTTAGCAATGTTATATTTTGAAAAATTGATTTCTGATCTTTGCCCAAAAGGTTACAATCGATTGAACGGGTTTTAATTTATACAAAATAAAATTGCTGTTGAATATTGCGATTGTACCGCCAACCATTTTGCAAATTGGAGATACCTGAATTAATAATTTACAAAAAATTGTCGTTATAATGTCATTAACTTTAGTACAATTTATTCGTTTACAGTATTTACTGAAAGCAAAAATGTATGCATAAAAAATGTTTTCAAATCCAAATAAATTTAGATTTACAGAAATTTTTTAATTAAGGTAAGATAACATTCAGTGGACATAATTACCTTCTAAGAGACGTGCCAGCTCCTTGGCGGCCTCCTTTTGGCGCTCGGGGGTTTCCCGGAGTTCCTTGATGGCCACCTCCTTTCCCTGGGCCGTCGGTTCCCCCAGCTCGAATTGGAGCGTATAGTCGCCCAGTTGGAGCGTGGGCAGTTGGTCTATATCCGACAACATTGTAGGGACTCCTGAAAGGAAACCAATTCGGAATCAATTAGCTAGAGCTTCTGTACTTTGCGCTAGCGAACCAGGTTTTTTCATTAAGTGCACTTCGGAACTTCGGCCAACTAAACAACTGAAGCCAACTGACAACAATTGCCAATTAGTAGCCCAGATAATGACGGCGGCACTTCACAATTACTTACTCATTTTGCAATTGTTGTTGCTCTGTTCAACCTATAAGATTCTGCCTTTAATATTTGTGATCTCAAGTTTCAGTTTGCCTAATGACAAATTGTGCGGGCTATTTATACAAAAGAGGGTAGAAATTTTAATCTGTTAATGAGGCAAGTGACTCGGAACCGGCTCCACGGAGAAACTGCATTGAATATCTAGACTTCCCCAGCGATTAAAAGCTTTATCGATCACCTGGACAACCTTCACCTTGACATTCGCAACTTATAACGGAAGACGAAGCGATAGATTTGGCGAATAGCTCAAAGATAACGATCATGGCTAAATGCATTTTTTTTGCAAAGATACTACCGAGCTGTCAAAAAACAATATACATTTTGAGAAACCTTGAACTGAATTCTCGAGTCTCTTGACACGTTCTACTTGAACGAAATTCTAGTTAAGCAAGTTTTTAATTACAAAACAAGTACTCAGGGTCTTTTTAGTATGTAGTAAATTAGTCAGAAATTAGCGCGTTAGATTTCCCATCTTGATGCCTAATGAAATCAAATCAAAAATTAGCGCCATAAATTTTCCATCTGGTTGCGCAGTTTTGAATGGTTCAAAACAAAAGACTAGGAAATTAGCTTCCAAAGAGTTGACATTGAATTCATCTACCAACTTCGATTAGATCGGCCAGGTGATATGTTAAAGATCTCGCCTATTTTCGCATTCATAAATGACACAGTGAACTTTTTTTGAATTACAGTAGAATCCGGTTATAACGACTTTCAAGGGACCGACCATTTTTCGTCGTTATAACCGGAAGTCGCACTAAGCAGAAGGAGGAAAAAAATAATTTTTTTTGCTTATTTTATGATTCCTCTGCTCGAAATAGGTTTTTAAAATAAAACAAATAAACTTTTTAGTTAAAACAAAAAATTTTAAAAATTTTATTCATAAACATGGGTTTTTCAAAATAAATGCACATTCAATGCACATCATAAGCATAATACAAGAAACAAGATTAAATTATATACATTGTGGTTTTTCTTTTAAATTCTTAATTTAAATAATCTGTTATTTTTGATTGTTTAGCAGTAGTTTTTGAATTGTAAAAAAAGTCGCGCACAGCGTTATTTAAACGAGAGATGCCGTGCGTTAAACTCTCGTCATTAAAATTTGCATGGACAAATCTATTCAGTATTTCTGCAGCCTTAAATGCCTCCAAAACGCTAGGTGCTGACACATCTTCATTTTGATCTTCGACATTGTCGTCACTATCCTGTCCATCATCTAATATATTTCTAACAATGCTGTCTTCAGAAGGTTCCTCACAAATCGCAACATCATTGTCAATAAGAACATATTCATCCAGTTCTCCCAATGAAATCGGTAGCTGTTTTTTTAGAGCACTTGCCCAAACCGATAGGGGAATGTCATCTCCGATTTCAATATTATTTGAGAATGAGGTGCTGGAACCATCTAAATTTTCTTCGGCAAGCCCAGAATGCTTAAAACAATTTGCAATTGTCATTGGCGAAACTTGTTGCCATGCATCATTTATCATTAAAATGGCATCAAGTATGGTAATTTTTGGGTAATTTTCATTTTGGGTTTCATCCATATTGCTGATTATTTTAAGTACGAGATTTTTCCGAAAAATTGATTTAATCACTCGAATTATGCCTTGATCCATTGGCTGTAATACAGATGTCGTATTTGGTGGAAGGAAAACTAGTGTGATATTCGTTAGGTCACTAATTGTGGGATGGGCTGGACAATTATCAACTAAGAGCAATATCTTCTTTCTCTGTTTTTTAAGCTCAGCATTCCAACCTCGTACCCAATTAATAAAAATTGTAGATGTCATCCATGCTCGGCGGTTACCATGGTAGCCAACAGGCAAATACCGAACATTTTTAAAGCATCTGGGTCGCTTTGATTTTCCAATAACCAATAATGGTTTTTTAAAATTTCCACTCATATTGGCTGCAACAAGCACAGTTATCCTTTCTTTGGACAGCTTTCCTCCAGTGCATTTTTCACCTATAAATTCAATTTTCAATAAACAAATTTCTTCAAAATAATTTTCCTTCCTACCTTTAAATTTTAATGTTTTGTCTGGAGTTAATTTGAAGAACAGTCCAGTTTCGTCGGCATTAAAAATTTCGTCATCATTGAAATCCTTACGTAGTATTGGCCAAATCTTTGTAAGCCACTCGCTTACATTGCTTTTTTGTACAGACAAAGATTCTCCACTGACTTTACCGGCGACGATATTATGCCTGACCTTAAAGCGGCTTATCCAACTAGCAGAACAATTAAAATTTTCAATTTTTAATTGTTTAGCGAAAAAATTAGCTTTTTCCTGAAGCAGTGGACCGCTTAATGGGATTCCTCGACTGCGTTGCATTATGAACCACTGTATCAATGCTTTATCGACTTGCTCTTGAGTTGACGCTCTGATACGTTTTGGCTTTAAGACATTATTATCAAATAAAATTTTAATTTTTTCTTTATTTTTTTTATTGTGGCAATTGTTGTGTGGCACACGCAGAATTCTTTTGCCAGAGTAACGTTGGGCTCTCCGGCTTCCAAGCGACGAATAATTTTCATTTTTTCTTCTACAGAGAAGCACTTTCGTTTGAAAGACATTTTTCGGCTGTACTGCACAAGTTTCAAGCTCAAACTGAATGTGCTTATTGTTGTGCATTTTGCATTTGTCGAATTTACGCATTCGTTTTACTCGGAAAAAAGCAGAAAAAACTAGAAATGTAACGGGACATCTCATGGAATAGGCTATGAGGTCTGCACACACAGTGTGACGTCGGCATTGCACTTCGACTCTCTCTCTCTCGCAGCAGCGTTGTTAAGGCGACAGCTAAAACTAACAGAGAGTTGTGCCAGTGCAAGATCCTTCGTGTCGCTGCTACGCACACAAGCAAGGGTGCCGATCACTGACAAATACATACATTTCTAACAGCGTGTTTTGATGCTTAAATTTGGAACTATGGCACTGTATTTTTTTCGGCACGACGCAATATCCGGTTAAATTTTTCAATTTTCTTGAAAAATTTCATTCTTATAAGCGGTTTGTCGCTAAAAGCGGAAACGCTCTAAGCGGAGGCCCTTTCATATAACTTTGTATGGGGGCCAACCAAACCATCGAGTTTTCGACGCACAACCCGGACGGACACTATAAGCGGAGTCGTTATAAGAGGATTCTACTGTATTAATATTGTTTTTTTTTTTATGGCTGGGAAAATACGAGACATTAAATAGTACACACGGATCACAACACAAACCGAAACTTGTTTGGTCTTTTGGCTAACAGTAATCCGCGAAGACGGTCTACAAAAAAACCAGCTAAGAGCAGAGCGTGCAACGGAGCCGAAAGCCCAGATGAAACTGTTGCGGCCAAAAGCGCGAGGCGGAGATTTTATGCCAGGCCAAGAATCAAAACTGGATTTCTGAAGAGAGCGCGAAGAGAGTGGGTGTTGTCGAGCGTTGCGTTTTAAGCCTAGTGTTGCCAAAACAGCTTGGTTTCGAACTTGATTCAACACTTTTTAAACACTTTGATTTTCATTAAAAAAATGTTTGTTTTATGTTATTAATTTTCTAATAAATAAATACATTTGCTTTTAAATCAGTGGGGTGCTTAATAGCACTAAATATAGTACTTTAATAGCACCTAAATATAGTACTTTAAAAAGTTTTTCAAAATTATGTTCCTAAGAAGCTATTAAACTTTGTAGTTCTTGACTCTTTTTTCTCCAACCTTAGATTCAATAAGTTTTGATGGTATGAAAATATAATCTCTGATAGTTACCTACTACTAGTTACCTATTTGAAATACAAAATTTTTTTTATATTTTTGTAATCAAAACTGATCAACACTATATTAAGTTGAACTTGTGCATGACATTCACGTGTGTGGATCCGAGAGAAAAGGTGTGAGATATATAGAGTTTACCCGAAGAGAGAGAGCTTAAATCTGGGTGCATCGTCATTGGGAAATGATGCCACCGCAAGCCGGTTTCAGTTTCGCTTTCAACTTCAACGCTTTCTGAGTAGCTTTGCCTAATTTATGCGGGTTTTCTTCAAGTGTAATTGCTCATAGGGCACTCAAAAATCCCTTGGCATAGGCATTTCCAAAGGTGACCCTGAAACTACGAGCTTCGTGCTATCCGGTTTCAATGTTGGCCCGCAGTACGCCAATTAGTGATTACACCTGTTGGACAAACGCACACTTGGGGTCAAGTTAATGGTTCATCAGTTAAAATTTTGGGCATTCCAGCGGTAGAATGGTAAACTCAATTAATTTATTTATTTGTCTGTGTTATCTTAATTACCGTGCATATTCTTTTTCATAAAAAATCATCAATTGAAGTTATTTTCAATAAAAATAAGGTGTTAAAAAGTATACAATGCATAAAATAATATAAAGCATAAGTTCGATAAACAATTAGTTCAACTAATTTATATTTGATGTGCTATTTATGTTACCCCATGTATTTTGACAGGCATATTTGGTATAATTAACACGTCTCAAAGCTCAGCACCATGTGCGTGTGGTCAGAAAATGATTTGGAGCCCGGTTTTGGACAAATCGGTTCAATCGCACCATCGCACGTGCGAAGACTTCGGCCATTCATGGTTTTACGCTTCGTTATACTCTCGATTTCATTTCGGCCTTTTGTGGACTATTGGTCTATTTTTGATGACGAACTTGAGCGGATGCTGACAGAAACTGGATGCTATATAGCAAAAGCTATATCTTTAAAAGGTGACACTCATAAATGGTATGATTTAGTTAGGAGTTATAAGTTATAACCCAAGTCTTGGAAAAGTTATGGGCTGAGAAAATCCGGTTTTGGGTCACATCAAAACGGGACATTAAAACGGGGAAAAAATATCACGTTAACAATGGTTCAAAAAATCAGCATTCAACAAATAGAAACTTTAATGCAATTCTTGTTGGAATCCGATCACAAACGTTTATAGGCCTTTTTTCGGGGTTTTGAAATGTGAGTGTTTAACCCTAAAATTTTCCCGTGGATCCACCACTGGTTAGGGCCCATTGCAACGTCAGTCTTTGCCCTTCGGTTTCTTGCTAAAAGTGAATTACCCATACCAGAAATAAAATTTTCAGAAACTTGGCAATGGCAAGGGCGATCCCACTTCCTAAAGTGCTTTGACCTTAGTCCTAAGGTAAAAAAAAGTACAAGTAAATAGCGCAAAAAAAATACATATAATGAAAAGTTACATGGGCAAGCGTGGATAAATTACAGTTGAACCTAGATAAGCAAGTAAATGAAAAAATTGTAAACCTTTATAAGACATTATGAAATCAGAAATAATTATGTAAATTCTGTGATTTACTTTATCTGCACCCACGCTTTGCCAAGTAACTTCGTTGCTAGACTCTTGATAATTTTAAGGAAGTGCAGTGCAAATATATATGAGTATATATATATATATATATAATATGTATTATCTTGCTGCTTCACGGTGTGTTTACTGTTTCTTACCAAAGCGAACAGATTTAGCTGTAAACGAGGGAATCGCTTCGGAGGGCAGACACCTCATCGCAGTTGCAGCGGTCAACATTGTAATGACGAGGCGAATCGAAAACACGATAAAACTAAACAAAAAACTGCTCAGCTCGATAAGTATTGCACATGCAAATGCCAGGCAAATAAATTAATATTTTTTGGTCGACCTGTTCGAGCCGGGAGCAATCGGATCGGAGGCACGGTAAATGGGTCAATGTCGGCGAGTTACTGAACTCTACTTGAAATTCTCGACCGACGAGCGCAAAAAAGGAATGCTTGAAAATATAATGAGAAAAAGGCAATGCAAAAAACTCAGGCAGACAGTGATGACCACTGTTACACAGTAGTTCCCCTGTAAGTTACATTTCCTTCCTATTATAAAGGAAAATTCATAAATGTTACCTCCCTATTATTATTAAACAAAAAAAAAAAAAAAGTTAAACTATAGACTAAGTCAGATCGTCACAAAAAATCTATGAAACATATATTTACTCACCTTAGTTCTATTAAAGTTCAGCTAATCCAAAGATAATGTGTTTAAAGCGTTGAAATCCTTTTGAAACTCACTTGTCACACTGATATAGTGAGCTTGGATCGCGTTTAGAGACTGAAAATACAAAGCTGCTTGTCAAATCGTTTTATAGCCGCCCCTTCTATGTACTGTGACCATTACACATATAATAAAGTTATAGTTATATCAAGAAATGAACGTCGGTCGGAATAGTGGGGCATTTATAAAAGGCCAACGCGATTTAATAGGTCATAATAAGCGACCAGAGTCTGGTTAAAGAGCGTTAAGATCACCTTGCGGATCGCCTATGGTAATCTTTTTTTTTAGTTTTTTTAGCATAAGTCAAGCTTAAAGTTTATTCGCAAGCTCAGCATAAAGTGTATGCTTATTTCATTCTTTTAAGCACTGTTAAAAACTAAGTTCTTGAAAACCTTTTCGCACAGTGCAGCGTACGTAATCGGTTCTCTATAGCAATTATCATTATTGAATATATTTTCCAGGTAAATATACTGTCTTACAAGTTATCCTTTTGTTGTTCATAAACCTTTACACTTCTAAAAATCAAAAAAAAATTTTGTATTGTTTTTTACTTTATATTTTCCACAATAGATTGTTCCATATTTAATTTTATATTGTTATTTTTATTGCGTTTTATTGATATAACTTCAGAAAAAGTATTATTTAAGCACTTTAAGCAGAAACACACTTTCAATATTTTTCTAGACACCACAGTTTTTCAAAACACTTATTTAAAACATTGTTACCGGTTAGTTGAGAAGTTCTTACGTTTTTGAGTAGTGTATTTGGGGTTAATCTTCTGTGGTTACGCGACTTCAACGTAATTCGACTTGAACTTTTGAACGCTCAGTACACAACTAGTTTAAAGACTAATCGCCGCCGTAACTGAGTTGAAAACTTGTTTTAAATCTCTCCTACGGCTCGTGAATCTGGCCAGTTATACGAGTAGTTAATACTTTGGTTATCACTCTTTCAACAGCAATGATTTTCTGGCAGGCAGTAGCTACTTTCGACTTGCGTGTCCGCGTGTCCGCGTTTCACGATCAAACGATCAACTGACGAGGGCTGTAGGTAAAGCGAACTCATTTGCTTTTAGTTTCAAGCGCGATCAATTAATTAAGTATTTCGCTGCTTGCCGCTTCCAAATGTATTTCAATTGTATTTTCTTGCACTTGCTTGAGCCCATTCTGCGTGTCGAATCGTCAGTCTGCCGATCGGTCCGCCAGTCAGACAGTCACCTTCGTCTAGGGAGCTACGTCAGGCTTTAGAGTCCGCCGGATTTTCGTTGGGCTGTCAATTGCAATTAGCTTAGTCAAAGTACAGCACGCTAAAAGTTAAAAGTAACCCACTGAAAGCATTAATCAATTTACAAACACGCAATCCCAGCGACAGCTGTTGATACGCACTACGCTCGGTATAGGCAATCAATTATCCACTATTTACATGCATTTATTTTGAATGTCATATTCAGTTTTAGAGCTTAAGCTACGACAGTTACATCTAATGAGAGTCGTTTACATATGAATACATTTATGAGTTCTAGAAATATCGATCTATGGCCTAAATTCATCCATTCCTTTCATTGTATTGTCGAGTATAAAACGTACATTTGACTAAACCAGGAGATATTGTGCAGACAATTGTTGCTATATATTGCTTACGACGAACTACAAAGCGTTCTCAGATGTTTTACAGGGTTAATGCTTAGACTACGTACAAAAATCGCGATTATTAATATGTCAACGATATTCACTGCAAAAGTCTTTAGTAGAACTTAAGGTTTCACAGTAGTTACTCTTAAGTACAGATCAAATCTAAGTGGGAGACATATGTATTTACAATAAAGAAACTCAGAGACTCCTGGCAGACGGTTAGACCAGTGGAGTCGGCCGATTTCTTGACCTGCGACTCCGTCGCCTTCTCGGCAATCATTTGGGCCGAATCTTCTCGTACATGAACTTTTGCACGTGCTTGTTGTCCGGCTGCATGAGCTTCTTTTTGTTGAACTCGAATTGGGCCAGCGCGAACTCGTACAGATCGTTTTCCATTTGCCAGATTTTTGTCTTTTGAATGGCTTTTATTGTTGATTCGCTCGGCGGCAACTTGGATGAGGTCACACGCAGATGAGATTTATTTGAGTTATGATAGTGCTCACGAAAGCCGTGGAAAATTCTGTGAAAGAATGCAGATCAATTAAATTGATATGCTTAAAAGGCAATCTTTTACCTGGGCAGTGATCTCTCTAAGAGGTCCACAAATTCGTACATTTGCTCGGTCACTCCGACTAGGAAGTACTCGTTGACTAGATTACGCTTGGCCTGGTCTAAAGCCCAACTGCTGCCGGGCTCCCAACACTCGGCGGCGTGGCCACAGAAGAAGGGTATCTGCAGCCACATGTTCTTGGGATCACAGTCGGGCTGTTTTTGCACCACGCACTCGTCGAAGGTCTATATTAAATGGAAGTATTATGGCAAAATCCGATTTGTATATCTCTAATATACTAACAATTTTATTGCCCGCCTTCTTGCGCACTAAATTCGGACGGTAGTTATCGCCGAAGCGGAGAAAATAATAGTAAGAGACCAATCTGTCCAGTGGTTTTCGCACCAGATTTATATAAATGGGCTTGTGAGCAATTTGGAATCTGAAAGTAATACATTTATAAAAGGGATTTACCGATGTAAGGCATTTTACATACTTGGAGAAGTCTAGAAAGGCCATGTGGCCGTGATACAGCGCTGGTTTCATCTCGTGCCATCGGGAAACGTTGCGCACCAATTGAATTTGATTTGGAAGTGAGAGGACGTGCATATTGGCAGTCACATTGATGTGCAGTACGTGGAATTTATTAGGTTTGCAGAGATCGTAGGCAATGTTAACGAAACTTGTGGATCCCGTCTTTGGAACGCGATTGTATAGGACCACCAGGTGCTCCTCGTAGTTAAAGTCGTCGGCGGATGACAAGGCATGCTGATCGGGGCCCAGGGACTCGCCCAGCTTGGACAGCGGCTTGAAGGCTGTGTGCAAGGGGTGGTTAATATCCAATCCATAAACAATGGCTTTTAGGTCTCCACTTACCGCGATCCAAGCGAATCTCCGACCAGAGCAACCAGTATCCAGCGCTGGTGAGCACGCACAAGGCAACCAAGATCAGCCAGTGGGTGGGTCGCAGCAGAATCCACATCTTGAGCAGTTTCCTAAACATGCCGCTTGTCAGTTAGCCCTAGTGGTCAGCACTGCAGCTCATTTCAGATGAGTAATTTTAGCATATTTTCATGCAGTTCAGCATGTTTTTTCCTGCACTCAACTGGGCAGTGTTGGTCAGCGACGAGATCAGCTGCTTGACAGTGTTGGAATGCGCGGAGCTGCCTCTATCGGAATGTGCATAAGAGATGAGCAGTTAGCTGTAAACCGGTACGAATAACAACTAGTAGGTAACTAAAAAATAAACAAACACATAAAATTTAACAATTAAAGATACGATTGGTACTCTATTTTTACCGTGGGGCTCACTTGTATTATTATTATGTTGGGAGTAACTGACTCCGTTGCTAACGGCCCTTAAGGCACGATAACCAATTTCAATTAACAAGATAAATGTTAACGCCCAATGCCGGAGTTTTACATTCAAATGTTCTTTGTTCAAAATCAAAACTAAAACTGAAACATAAAAGACTTTACGTAAGCTATGCGCGGCCGGCAAGCCGACCGCTCGTGCAGCAGAGTGCTGGCACTAGCAAAATCCGCATAACTCACCATACCGGGTATCAATAGGAACCAGGCTCGGCCCCTAAAGGAGTTTACGCTGATCTTGCAACTAAACACTAGGGTGGTCCGATAATCACCCAAGAACTTGATCGATTTATAATTACTCCTCAACAGTGTTAACATGTACATAGTACCTATGTATTTCTTTCCCATCGTAATCATGTGGGCCATGAAATTTAATTCCTATACAAAGTATGAAGAGATTGTTTTCACTTCAGTATCGTAGAGCATTCGAATCGATAAGAAACACATTTCGCAACGAAAAAAATATATTTTTTTTCAGTGACAATCGTACAACACCTCAATATCTTGAAGAATTCGTTAATCATTACCGCTTCGAGCACCTCTGTCGAGAATAGTGTGACCATCGCTGCCAGCTGATAATACCAAGCTATGCCAATATTCTAGCGCCCATTTTTGCGAGGTTAAAATAAATTTCGCAAGCCGGCTGCAACTGCAAAGTACAGTGCCAGAAGTAGATAAAATAAATTGAATACAATCTAGAATAACCATGTCGATTACAAACTTCAACTTCGCTACCATGGCGGCCCAGCTTGTCCAGGAGCAGGGCATTTCGTTCCAGGATAAAGCGCTCACTTGGGATACAGCTGCCGATGGTGAGTTCAAAAGACGCTTAAATTAATCTTAACTTTATGATGGCTAACCAACGCTCATTGCAGTCAAGGATGTTGTGGATGCGCTTAACAAACAGACTACGGTGCACTACCTCAATCTGGACGGGAACACATTGGGCGTAGAAGCTGCCCAGGCGATTGGCGAGGCGCTAAAGCGTCATCCGGAATTTCGGAAGGCGCTGTGGAAAAATCTCTTCACGCGTCGCCTTAAATCGGAGATTCCGGAGGCCTTGAAACACTTAGGAGCTGGCCTGATTGCAGCGGGAGCGAAGCTGACGGTCCTCGATCTCAGCGACAACGCCTTGGGACCGAACGGCATGCGGGGATTGGAGGAGTTCCTCCGTTCGCCCGTCTGCTACTCTTTGCAGGAACTGCTCCTCTATAATTGTGGCCTGGGTCCCGAGGGCGGAAGCATGTTGTCCAAGGCTTTAATTGATCTGCATGCGAATGCCAAGAAGGCGGGATCCCCGCTTCAGCTGCGCGTCTTTATCGGCGGACGTAATCGACTCGAGAACTCAGGCGCCAAAGCCATCGCCGCTGCTATCAAAACACTCAAGACCTTCGAGGAGATTGTCTTGCTGCAAAACTCCATCTACTACGATGGCGTTGAGGCTCTGGCCGAAGCCTTTAAGGAGAATCGTCATTTGCGGGTGCTCAACATGAACGATAACACGCTTAGGGCAACTGGAGCGGAAAAGATCGCCGAAGTATTACCCTTCGTGCCATTGTGAGTTGGTTGTTTTAAAAAATTGTAAGAGAGTATGTTATTTTAAAGCTTCTTCTCAGGCTTCGGGAATTTAACTTTGGCGACTGTCTGATTCGTACCAATGGCGCCTATCACTTAGGCGAGGCTCTGGAGAACTCCACCGATCAACTGGAGGTTGTCGACTTGGGCTTTAACGAGATAAACAGTGATGGCGGTCTGGTACTGGTGAACGCCATGCGAAACAAGCCCAAACTGCGCCTCTTCAACCTTGATGGTAACTGCTTTGGTCAGAAAGGTGCCGATCAGGTAATCAGCGAAATGGCCAAGTTGCCCAACGCGGCCGCGCTGCAGCCGTTTGAGGAGATCGTCTCCGAGGATGAAGAGGCGTCGGGCGAGGAGGATGATGATGAGAACCAAGGCGATGAGTACGATGATGACGATGGTGAGGAAGAGGAGGAGTACGACGAGCACGAGCATGCCAACGATACCACTGAAGAGGCCGACGAGGACGATGAGGAGTACGACAACGTGGCCGAGGAGACGGCCTATGTCACCACGAATGCCTTCTCGACCAAGGTATGCTCTCTGAGAAATAGTACTTTGACAGACTATATAAATTTATAAATTGTACAGCTCTTTAATGATACAAACAACTCAAAGGCCAGCGATACCTTTGCGGTGGCCAATCAAACGATCAGCCAGAAGTGCACTCCTGAAGAATTCTGCCTGAGCCAGACTCCCTGCTCCCAGCAACAATTTGATTCTCTGGATTCGGACAACAAGCTTCAGGCTCTGCAGTATATTGTCAACGTATGTTGCTCTTTAGTTTACTCCCTTTCACATTCGGGTTACATAAATTCTTTTTAACAGCAATTCACCGGCGACAACCATTTGCTGTTGCTCATCTTCACCACTTTGAAGTGCGCCCATTTGTCGAAGTCATCGAAGGCGGCTTTGGATCTGGCGGTCTCACTATATCAGGCTACCTTTGACTATGCCCTAAAAACAAATCAGGAGACCCGTGTGCTCAACTATGTCCTCATGCAGCTGCGCCTTCTGCGCTGTGAGGAGCCATTTAAATCGGATTACGATGTGAAGAGCTGCCGATATGCTCTACGCGAAGCTATTAAGCAGCCGCAGTTTGCCAACGATAGGATCAAGAACTCCTTTAAGACATTCCTCGAACAGGTCGACGTGTAAACATTTTTAATTTTGTCGGCCCCTAGAGATTTTTATTTTCTACGTTCCAATAAATGTTTTCTTTGGTGAAAAAAAGAAATATTCCTTTCTGATAATTATTTATATTGTATAAACCATGCAATACATAGTACTGAAAAAGAGCCCAATGAAACCAATAATTTAAGTATAAGCCATTAGGTAAAATTGGTTTATTTACATGAAGAAATCTTTTATGAGACTACAAACTATGTTTATGAAACATGTTAATACATCGATATTATGTTTGTAAATTCCGGTTGGTGGCTTAATTTGCTGCTCTGGAACACAGAATCAGCTACAGAGAACGAATGTAGCGAAGTTGTTTGCTTAAATAAAATTAAAACTCGAAAAATAAAACGTTGACGTTAACTTCGAGAACATTGAAAGGTAAAATGAAATTATAAACAATCTTAGCGAGCCAATCTGCGCATGAAAGTGCCTTCTCAAGACTTCCGGATTCCGATGATGTCGATTCCAATCGTCGATTTGCTTGCCAAATACTCATACCGAGGTAAAGTTAACAGCTTGGTTGCCAATTGCTCAACACTCAAAGTCAGAATCATCGTCTAAATCGAATACTTCATCTTCATCGCTTTCGATGACTGCGCGCCGTTTCTTTGGCGGTGTCTTCTTTTTAGCACCTCCGCTGCTGTCCTCATCGCGATGACGCTTGACTGGTCGCTTAACGGGCGAGTCTTCGCCGTCCTCGCCTCCGGAACTGCCATTATCATCGTCGGATCCCACGTTGCCGGCGCGTTCCTCCTCGTCGGAGAACAGAGAGCTGTAGTCTATTTTCTTGCTGGCCGCTCGCCGTCCTGGTCGATCTGCCCGAGGAGTAACCTCCTCCACATCACTACCCTCCTCGTTATCGGTTTTTTTGGCCTAAAAAAATTGGCATTTAGACATCAAATAAATGAATACGTTCATTATTGAATCAACAAATGACTTACCTTGGCTTTGCTGAAATCAAGCTTGCCCTGCTTAAGTGCGCCGCCATTCTCCTTCTTTTGGCGTGGTTTTTTCTCGGCCGGCTCCTTTTTGACAGCCGCCTTTTTGGCGCCCTTCGGTGAGGTCTTCAAGCCACCCTCGACCAGGGCGTCAAACTCGTCCACCTCCTCGCCGGCGGCATCTGGATCCGACTTAATATTCTTGCCCTTCGGCTCCTTCTTCACCTTCACCTCCTTGGGCTCCTTGGGTTTCTTTGGTTCCTTTTTGTCCTGGGCTACCTTGGCGGCAAGCGCCATCTTCTTAATAATTTCCTCGGTAACCTTAAAGTCCACATGCTCTCCATCGGGATCGGGGAAAACGTCGCCCAGGCCTGGTGCCACACCCGCTGCCTTGGCCTTGCGACCCTTGGGAGCCGAAGCCTTCTGGCTCTTCATCGCCTTGGCCTGTTTCAGATTGATTCCCTGCTCCTCGAGTCGCTCCTTCTCCTCCACCTCGTTTAGCTTGGTCTCTAGGGCATCCAAATCATCCAGCCATAACAGTTCCGGCGTCTTCTTTTGGAGGCTGTCCAATTCGGCGAGCTTGGCATCGCGCTGCTTTAGCAACTCGTTCTTCTTCTCCTCGGTCAACATCCACATGGACATGCCGAGGAGGTAGTCGAACTTCTTGACATCGGTCAGCTTCTTGAAGGCCTTATCCGGATCGGCATCCTTCTCCTTCTTAACCTTTGAGCTGGCGCTAGTTGCAGCTGCCTCCTCCTCTTCGTCCTCCTCGTTGTCTGGCTCGGCATCCTCCATCTTGATGCGGCGCTGCCACTCTTTCACGGGATCCGGACGATAGCCACGCTTCAACAGCTCATCGCACATGGCCTTGCGCTGCTTATTCTCCACCACCAGCGTCTTCTCGCACTTCTCGAGAATGAAGCGCGCCTGGTCGCTGAGACGATCCGCCTGTGCGGTCAGTTGGCCCACAAGGTAATCCTTCCTACGGGCGTAGTATTCCAACCGCAGCTTGTAAAACTCCTTGAGGATATCCATCGAGGTGGGGAATCGTCGCAGACAGTTGTTCTGGTCGAAGGCGTGCATCTGGTTCGTGGACATTGTGCTGGTCAGCTTGAACACTCGATAGAATCCGCCATCCTCGGCTCGAAGGCGTTCGAACTCGCCGGGCGCGAGGGTGACCACAAACCGAACGGTGGTGTCGGTATGGTACTCCCTGTATTCCGACACGACGGCCTTCACCTTTTCGGTGCCGTTTGACAATGCCTCCAGCACGTTCTCCTTGTAGGTTTGCGTCCAAACACCAATGGGAAGTTCGGTGATTTCAAGCCGATTGCCTGGCAAAATCTGAATGTTTCCGGTCTGCACATACCGACCATCTGATACGTACTCTATGTGTCCTTTGAAGTTCTTGTACCACGGATGCATCACCTTCGGCTCCTCTCCGTTGATCATCCGCTTCAGATTGCGCATTATCTCGCGGGGATCGTGATTGGCGATCTTCGTGGACCAACCTGTTCCAATGCCATCGGCTCCATTGACCAGCACCATTGGGATAATGGGCAGATACCACAGCGGCTCGATCTTTTGGCCATCGTCCACCTGGTAGTCGAGCAGCGGATCGTCGAGAGGGTGAAAGATGAGTCGCGTTAGGGGCGACATCAGGGTGAAAATGTAACGAGCACTGGCGCAATCTTTGCCGCCCGTCAATCGAGTACCGAACTGACCACGCGGCTCCAGCAAATTAATGTTGTTCGCGCCCACATAATTCTGGGCCAGATTCACAATGGTCATCTGCAGCGAGACCTCGCCGTGATGGTAGGCCGACATTTCGGCCACCGAACCGGACAGCTGGGCCACCTTCACCTCGCGCTTGTCGTTCCTCTTGAAACAGGTGAACATCACCTTGCGCTGACCCGGCTTTAAACCATCCACGAGACTGGGAATGGAGCGCTCGTTGTCTGCGTTGGAGAACAACACCAGCTCGAGGTTAATGAAATCAGCATAGGAGATGTGCTTGGTGCCCTTCGTGTAGAGGTAACGCTCGGGCAATCCCAGTTCCTTGCGACGCTTCACCTCGTCCATGTGAGCGGTCAGCCAGACCTTCCTGGACTCAATGTGCTTCCTGGAGAACGCCATGACAATGCTCTCATCATCCACCGAGCCGTCGTACTTGAACAGGATGCGATGACGCTCCATGTCCTGGAAGTACTCCTTCGCCTCCTTAGAGGTCGAAGTACCGAGACCCTTATAGTACTTTATATTATAAGTGTGGTGGTTTGGTGTATCCATCTTCCACTCTTCGAATTCGGGCAGTGAGTAGAACGACAGCTCCTCGTTCTTTTTGGTGGCTTTCACAATCGGCGTAATGAACTCCTCGAGGAAGGGCAGACGCAAGAGTTCCGGCCAATTTGTGTGGATAAAGTTGATAAGCAGACCCTTAATGTGAGATCCGTCCTGATCCTGATCTGTCATGATCATCAGCTTGCCGTACCGAAGGGTCTTTAGATCATCCTCGGTGAGATACTTCTTTTTGTATTGCAGCCCGATGATCTTGCACAAGTTGTTGATTTCGGCGTTCTCGGACAGCTGCTTGAAATTAGCCTCTCGTACGTTGAGAAGTTTTCCCCTAAGCGGGAAGACTCCGTAAAAATCGCGACCGATGACGCCCAAACCGGACACAGCCAAGGACTTGGCCGAGTCTCCCTCGGTGAGAATGAGGGTGCAGTTGATCGAGTTCTTGCCACCAGCTTCGTTAGCGTCCTCCAGCTTGGGAATGCCCTTGATCTTGGTCGACTTGCGACCACCCGTCTTGGCAATGTCGTTTTGGGCCTTGAACTTGGCCCATGCCAGCACCGATTCCACAATGCCAGACTTGGACACGTTCGCGATGAACTTCTCGGACAGGGTGCACTTCGAGCCGAAGCTCTTGGCCTGCAGCGTCATGTTTTCCTTGGTCTGTGAGTCGAACGTTGGGTTCTCAATCAGGCAATTGACGAAAACCCACAGATGGTTGCGCACTTGGAAGGGCTTGATGTTGATGCCACCTAAAAAAGGGATTTTCAAATAAGCATACAATTCTCGAAAAAGAAATCATTAAACGCACCTTTGTTCTTTTTCTTCAGCACCTCGAGGAGCTGCTTGATGACATTGTCCACCACATGATCCACATGCCTACCTCCCTTATACGTGGCTATTGAGTTCACAAATGAGACCTGCTGGAAGCCGCGATCCGAGGGACAACAGGCCACCTCCCAACGCTCGTTCGCTACCTCGTGCACGATCTTAATGGCCGGACCCGAGTCCTCGTCCGTGCTCTTGATGTGCAGATCAATATAGTCCTTGAAGTTCTTCACCGCCAGCTTGTTGCCGTTGAGGAAGACAGCAACACCCTTGGATGAAGCGGCCACATCGTAAGCGCGACGCGACATCAATGCCACAATGTCATCATCAAGACGCTCCATCTTGAACTTGGCCAAATCGGGACTGAATGTGATGCGAGTAAAATCAGTGCCACTAAAATCCTTGATCTGTGGATTGTTGTTAAGGCATTAGTTAATTTTCTTTAAAAAATACTGTGAAAATAATTACCTTCACATCGGAGGCCTTTTGCATGTTGTCGCCCCAGGTCTGCTTGAAGCTCCTCTTGTACTCCTTCGTGGCGGTCTCCACGGTGAAGCTGGTGGAGAAAATGTTGCAAAGCTTGGCTCCGTAGCCGTTCCTGCCGCCGGTGACCTTCTTCTCGTCATCGTTGTAGTTCGAGGACGTCAACAGATGACCGAAGATCATAGTGGGCACGTACATCTTCTCCTCCTTGTGCATGGTAACCGGAATTCCCTGACCGTTGTTCCACACAGACACAATGTTTTTTTCAGGATCGATGTCAATCTTGATGGTGTTCATTGACTTGTCGCGCTGCTTGTTGTCCGCTGCATTTACGAGAATCTCATCGAAGATCTTGTAAAGGCCGGGCACGAAAGAGATCTCCCTCTGTACCATTCGGTTTTGCGAGGGCTCGTACACCCACATCAACTCCTTGGTATACTCCACGGATCCGATGTACGAGTCCGGACGCAGCAGGATGTGCTCCAGCTGTGACTTCTTCTGGTACATCTTTTCAATGGACATGGCGCCCCCCGACTTGCTGCCGTTCTCCATGATGCTGTTGCTGCTGTGCCTAAGCTATACAAACGAATACAATATTAATATTAGTTTATTTAATGAAGCAACTGTACGCAGATCTTTTCTATAGCTACAGCCTTAGGCGCTATTAATCGCTTCGTCTACGCTTGGCTTTTTCTTCAGAGTTAAAAAACAAACCAAATAATAGATACAACAGTGTAAATTCGTTAAATGTGTTATAATAACATGATATGATTATTTTTGTATTAAAAGAAAAATCTGTTCAATTTACTAATAACCATACCCATTTAAAAGGTTTTTTGTTTTTTACTCTATTCAGTAACAAGAAAACAGACAATCACCCTTAATGAAGACACACTGTACTCGCGGCAGCGGCAAAATAAAAAACAAACGCGCGCGCGCGCAATGAAAGCCTTTTGGCCAGACAAGCGCTGGAATGGGACTACGCCAATTGAAAGTATATTAAACCCAAGGAATTAATGATAGGCCTTTAAAACCAATAAATTATTCAAACTTTGTCAGAACTATGTATCTACATTTCCAAATGGAGTTACTGTACTGGGAACAGATTTCTAGCACATTTTCAACGGCTGTTTTTGTTGGCGGCAACGCTTGTCTGCGCTTGTATGTGTGTGTGTGTGTGCCTGTACGTGTTGTTTGCCGGCAATCGCATAATCTTTAACTGTTTGTCGACTTTGCAACTATTATTATTCAGTATAAACTATTTCCAATGTAATTTAAAGCTTAGCTGGATTATCGGCACGTGGTTTTTATTTTTTCGCTACAAAAAATTAGCAAGATTATGCTCTCTATACCGGTAGCGCCATTTTTAATTTGCAAGCGTCGCTGCGGAGAAATTTCAACAGCTACATTTGTAGAGGAATTTTAAACCATTTATACTTTTTTTATAGTAATAACCACTTCCATTGCAGAGATAAATTATACATTTTAATACCTGGTTAAAAAGTTGCTGAGTTTTAGTTGTTTTCAGTTGCTGCCGCCTACAATCGAAGCGCGGCAAAACTTTATGAAGGAGTGGAAAAACGAGGCGACGCACTACAATTTTCGCTATGTATGTGCGTCCTCGCGACTACTACCCGGGATTAAAACTTATACAGAAGGTTAAATATATTAATATCCACACATTTATCAACTTTTCACTCGACGAACCGACAACAAAACCGAAATCAGTGTGGCCAGACGGGCTTCTGTCCAACTGCACTCGACCATGGCCAAGGCAGAATACTGTAGTCCAGTTTTCCGAAGTTATCGATTTGTTTATTGACGCTATGATTTAAGTTGTGACTCGAACCCTGGCGTAGTTCGTTTTATTTAAAATTTTATTTTAATTATACAAAATATTTAAGATCTTAAAAGATAGAAATTGCTAGCTTTGGTGAAACCAAAAGTAAACCTCTACAAAACTAGAATTCTATTTTATAAAAGATGAAAACTTAACAGTAATTAAAACTAAAACATGTATCTAATTTATTTTTCCAATACGATTAAAACAGGTTTAAACGTATAGTAAATTATAGGCAGCTTAATATTTCTTTATAATTATTATTATTATTATTCCTCATAATTTCCTCTTAATACTTGGGAACTACTCCACCTTTCACTTGAACGTAAAACTACTTTATATTGCCTAGGCATAAGATTAAATAAATTGTCTTCTTAATTGTAGCTAATTAGTTTGTAATTGTATTTCTCTCAGCTGTAATGCAGATTGCTTTTCAATTAAGCACCTGATGAAATGAATATTTCAAAGCCAATTGCTTTGGTGGTCAGAGCCAAGAACTTGGCTAAAAGCGAACAGGTTTTCTTTCTGCTGTTGACTGACCTTGCTCAACAAGACGTCATAAAGGGGTACGTTCTTTCCCATCCCGTTGCAATTTTTACTGCAAAACAGAAACAAGTTTTTTGTGGTAAAACAAATTGTAAAGAATTTTCTGGAGAATCAAGTTTGATTTACCCTGATTTACTTCAAAATGGCATGGGTCCAGAAAGAACCCTTCAGATCGTGACGTCATCGGAGTTATTGACCTTATCCAGCATGAAATCTCCTTCAGAAATGTTCACTCCCACATTAACAATTTTATTTCTCGTTTGACAAGCATCAGTTGGAATCTTTCTTTACTTAGCTTGTACTCTAAAAAGTTGGGGATTTTTTGTTCACTGGGTAAAAACGGAATTCTGAATAAAAAACGGAATTGGGAAGATATTCCCAATTAAGTCAGGTTCGCAAATACCAAAATAAAAACATTTTTGTTGCGAATTTGCGAAAGCAGAAATTTTAAAAATGCAAATTGGAAAGCTTTAAATTTATTCAGAGACTTTTTTAGAAGCCCAAATGGTTATAAATTATTATTCATAATTAGTTACTAGATATTTTTAGGATCGGTCACGTTTATTACTTCTTTTAGAACTTAAAACAACTAAACACCCGTCAAGAATGTTTTTTATTTTTATTAAGGTATATGTTATTTAAGAGCTCTTATATTTATTAAATGACCCCAGTTACTTCAAGGGTGTTTTTAACTTCGACTTGAAGACTTAGCTCTTCCTATTCAGATGCTGGTAGATCGTTCTCGCATACTGGTTTGTAGTCATTACTGCTGCGCTTTTTCTCCATTTTTTTTCATTCTGTGAGTTCTGAGTTCTGTTCATAAAAAGTTTTGTTCTAAACGATCCGCAGCTCAGTTTCATCACGAACTTCTGCGATGCCAGTTGTGTGCGATCTATTTTGAGCCGGCTTCCAAGTATTACAAGCTGAAAACCGTGAACAAAACACGGTAATCGCAACTCGGATCGGAGCATTACCGGGTAATGAAATTGGAGACCCCAAACTAATGGGGTGATAAACCGACCACCAGGTGTTAAGCGGCAGGCGGGGCATTAAAATAATTGCTTATTATCAAACAGACTATTAAAGTCCACAAATTCTCGTAATTATCTCCAATTGTGGGGAGGCAATTAACGACAACAATGGCGAGTTCATTAACATTTGAACCGATGTAACGCAGTTAAAGTGGAGTTTTTAAGCATCTCCATCGGTTCCACCCTCGAAAACGAATAGAACTGTGTAATTAGTCGGAATTTGTTGAATATGATTAAATATTGACCCAGGCACTTTGCACGATCGACCACGTGTGAGATTTCTGTGTGCTGCACTTTGAGTTCGCGGTGCCATCATCATCGTTATCTGCGAAATACGTTCCGAAGTCACAACATTGCACCGGACCCCAAGCGACCTGATTAGACATTGACTAACCGAGTGATAAGCCTATCAGGTCCCGGCTCCAATATAACGTAATCGCTGGGCTCAGACGAGGGCGAGGCTGGACTGGAACTCGGGGATTTGGGGATAGGTTTCGGGGATTAGGGTCAAGGGCGGGACGGAACCAAACAAATACACTTTGTAGCGCGGAGAAATGGTATTAATATAATATTGTTTACGATACGATTTTATACTGTTTTAAAAATTTAATAATCAGAACAATTTTCTTATAAATATTTTTATGTAACAAATATTAATTTTTGATATTTAGAAAGTTTTAAAGTATTTTTTTTTTTCATTTTTACCTTCTGTAAATAATTTCTTTTATTTAAAACTTTTATCAATACTTTTACTATATCATATATACTATTATTATATATTGACTCCATCATTTAGCTCATTAATGCTAGAAGAATTGACTTCGGGCTTTACTATAAATAAACATATAGTAGTTCTCTGGCATACTGTTATCGGGCGATTAGCTGTCTCCTTCCCGCTATCGCGAAGCTCTGTCCTGTCCATTGTTGTTCGGTTTATACTTAATATTTAATGGTCGCATACTCGTACATGTGTAACAACAAACAGCATTTTGCATGGGACTGGGAACATTTGTTCTGATTCCGTTCGGGGGCTCAGTTTCACACTTGAAGTCGATCGGATCGCAGCTCACCAAATGGTAACAAGAAAATCACCCATCAATATCATGCAAAAATCACCCTGGAACCCAAATGTCAATCCGATGGAAATGTTGCTAACAATGAGACTCGGAAGGTCGAGCAATTATATGCGTTTTTACAACCGCTGCTTTATTAATTTTCTACGAAACTATTTTTTTTTGCCGGCTAAATACGAGTGTGAAATTTAGTCATACACTTTATGGCATAATTATATTTAGCGTGTATGATTTTTTTATAGACGACCAACAGTGGATCCCGCACCATGCCCACCATCGAGCATAAATTAAACATTACAGAGGAGGAGGTTCCGGAAGATATCCGTCGACTTGCTGAAGAGCAAGGAGAGTCTCCCAGTTCCAAGGAAAAGGTCATCGAAGAATTTCGCAACTACATTTTAGGTAGGTAAATATCCTTAAAACATAAATTATTTTATTTAAATAAATTAATGGCAATCTTTTTAGAACACAACGAATGCCAGCCACATCGAAATGATTCAAAGTATCTCGAAAAATTTTTAAGAGCCCGCTACTGGAAGATCGAAAATAGCTATAAATTGGTAGGTATTTATATCTAAAATTTTATTTACATTTTTAAGAGACTGATTTTACAGGACTTGTTTTCTTTTTTAGCTTTGCAGTTACTACAAGTTCCGGGAACAAAACAAAAGCTACTACGAGAAGGTTCGGCCTCTGGATCTGCGTCATGTTGGTCAGTCGGATATCCTGACTGTGACACCCTACAGGGATCAACATGGCCACAGGATACTCATCTATCGTTTTGGTCTGTGGCGACCGAATCGCGTGACCGTCGATGATATTTTCCGGGCCACCATAGTCCTGCAGGAGCTGGGCAGCTTGGAACCCATCTCACAGATCGTTGGTGGAGTGGGAATCTTCGACCTGAAGGATCTTGGCCTGGAACACATACTCCATCTGAGTCCCAGTGTGGCACAAAAGATGATTGCCCTTCTGGTGGTAAGTGAGAAAAAATAGAAACATTTTTGACTTTTTAGAAATATTTTTAATTTTTATACATTAATTTGTTTAATTTTTGACAGACCTCAATGCCCATTAGAACATCCGCTCTTCACATTGTGAACCAAAATTGGGTCTTCAACGCGGCATTTAAAATATTTAAGCCCTTCCTTAATGCGGCCATGAGAGAGAAACTCTATATTCATGGCAGTGATATGACTTCCCTGCACAAGCATATTAATCCTGAACATCTTCCCAAGCGGTATGCATATTTTAATTATTTTATATTTTTTTTTATAGTTAAATATAATTTTTCTTTCTTTCCTGTTTTAGTTATGGTGGCTTGCACGACGACTACTCCTATACGCTCTGGTTGGACATGTTGAAGGAGCAGTGTACGGGTAATAGCGTCCAAAAAGATATGGAACAATTGGGTTTCATCTTTGACTAATTAGCTAAGTTATAACTACTAAATTTGAATATGCTCCTCTAGGCACTGATGGTCTCTCAGTTGATTTTACCGAATATGAAAGGGAAATGTGAAGTTAATAATACTTTAGTAATTTTGTACTGCAATGGAAATCAAATTTCTGTTTATTACTTAAAGGTATTTAAATATGAATCAATTGACAGAAGTTAGTATAGTTTGAAACAATTAAAGAAAAAATACTACTTTGAGCATTTTTTATGGCTTTAGAACCCTGCTATCCCGTTTTTATCTGATCAAATCAAGACACAGTTTTGGCTTTGTATAATCTTTATTATCTTATCTTTATCTTTCGCACATTTGTCGGCCACATCAATGACCGATGACGACCGAGCTCGGGGCAATAATAATTTGGTCCTAACCGAATCAAATGGCCCAACGAGCGCCCAGGAGATTTGTTCCGGTCAGGAAAGCATAGCAACTTGGTCCTTCGAGTTTTATGTGATTCGTATGCAAAGTGCGCTAGGTGCTAGAGCGAGACAACTAGCCACACGACCATTCGCCGTTATGGTAATTGAGTGTTGGACAACGCATAAAATGCAGTCGGCGGCCATAAATATGTTTGCACTCGTCCTGCAAAGCGGATGTGCAAGGGGGTGGGTCTTCCTTCTGACCGTTACGAATATGTTTGATATTTTTTATTGAATCCCGTTGTCTCAACATCATCCCCCTGCCACCGGAAGTCGTTGCCGTCACAAAAAAAAAACGGTAAAGAACACAAGTTGGGAATAGAGAGTTACTAGTTCGACTAAAAGATGCTCTATAATTGCATTTTATAACTGAAATAAAACACAAATAAGTGTTAAGGGTTTTATATTAATATAGATTATTTTGTGTGCAAATCATGGATTTTGTTTGAAATTTTTCTAAACCAAATCTAACTTTTTAATGCAGAGTATCCAGGGATTACCTCGTACCCCTCATCTGTGGCCTTGCGTTGTCCTTTGGTCAACGATAGTGAAATTGATTTTGCTGCTAACGGGGGTCTAGGTTGACATTATAGCTAGCTGGGTGAGGAGATATATCCATGTGTATAATCTGTGTGCGTGCTGGACAGCTGTGTGAGTGCGTATAAAAGGCAGCGACATTTGTGCGATTAAAGCGACAAGATTAAAAAATTTATTGCGCAAATATTTATGGGGGACAGTAACACACAGTGGCAGTCAGAACGAAAAGAAACAAAAAAAAACACATTCTCGCAAAAAACACACATATCGCATAGCCTACATTTGGGGGGCACGACCGCTGTGCGTTATTAGTTGGCTTTTGGCTTTGGCTTCTGGACTTCTGGCAACACGTGTGTGGGTCGAAACCGAACTGGACATAATTTATGGCTTGCAAACTGAATTTATACGAATTTTATTGAAAAACAAAGAAGGCGGACAGAAAGGGCAACGGATTCGTCTTCTCCAACATGTGTCGCAAACTCATACATCTGCAAAATTCAGTTTATATAGCCGCTGCCAATATCTTCTAAACTTAAATTTTTACATATATCATTTCGAGGCCCAGCATCATACCAACTTTTTCATATAATTTCTTTCTAATACCAGTAGAAAGCCCATAACTTTTCTTAATGATGTCCGATTTTGAATTGGTATACCTTAAAATTCTTATGACATAGTCCCCTAAGAGAATGAATCCTTAGTGTGGTTTTTTGTGCTGCATATTATGCATATTTTCTGCACTTTACTTCTAAAATCCTCTTTAATATTTATTACTTCCTCAAATTCCATTTTTGGCATTAGATAGCTCTGTATTTAATCTACACTTCCTCCTCTGATTTACTATTCTGTGGACATACGACTTCAATCCCTTCTAAGAACTTCCTTATTTCGTACTCAGTTACAGTTGAGCCCGAAATTGGCCATATTATCCAGACGACACATTTGGGGGCGTTTCCCCGGCTGTCAACTGTCACCGAAGGCAGTGTCAAACTGACAGTCGTTGACATCCGTTGACTGTGTACCTGACCTTCAATTTTTCCCCACCCCGGGAAAGGGGAGGGGTTGTGTTTGCAACCCTAAACGGATAATTGCTTCCTAATGAGCTGGCGAGGGTGACCCCGACCCAATCAACCCCGTACTCACACCCCTTTTGGGTCTCCTTATCGGCGAAGGCAGTTTATCATTCGGCGATTGGCAGGCAGAAAGCAAAGCTAAAACCAAAACAATGGGAACAAATAAATTATGTCCAGCGATTTGTAAACAAACATCAACTGGTCGAAACGGGGGTCAATTTGACCCCTGCCCCGCGAAATGGGAAATGTTTGGTTGGGGATTTCCATAAATAAGGACCCCAGCCAGAATAATTGAAATATTTGCTGTCAATTTGTTGACTCCGGAAGACGACGATTCCGGATTCCGGATTCCGGGCCCGAGGCGAAGGTGTAAGTCGTATAAATGGTGGATCGTTATGGTCCTGTTGCCACAGACACCGATTATCGCAGGTCCTGCCGCAGGACGAAGCCTGTTTGCTCGGCGAGGGACCACCCAAGTGATAAATGGTTGCGATTTATTTTCCTTGCACTACCGATTGCGAACTCTGTGTGTGCCAATGGAAATTATATTGTATTTTGCGATATTGAAACATCAAAAGGGGAAGTAATGTTTATTCACTTATCTTACTAGATTAGATTACTTTTAAATAAGAAAAGTAAGAAATGAATTAATAGAAATAAACATAAATTATTATGCAGGCCACAATAAGTGAAATTTAACATCATCTCTAATAAAAACCTGCTGCTTTTGTACTATTATTCCTGGTTACAAGTCATTAAACCTGCTATATAAAAGTAAGGGACAAAAATCCAGAAAAAATATAATGGCGACCCCCAATGGAGTTGAACTCCAGCTGAGTTGTGCACTGAGACATGTGGACATTAAAAGAGGAGGAGATCGGTGGCTTTTCACTGGGGTACGGAAGGTAAATTGACATGAACATGTCAACGTTTTGAGTTTTTTTTTTCAAAATCGATTTTCCATAGATTTACCAGAAATCGTTTGCGATAAAACACGACTTTACTTCGTGCTTAAAGTGCACTCCAGGCGATGATCTGCGGGGTTCGGGGGATGGAATGCCGGCTACAATCAATCACATCGCCACATGCCAGAATGAAGAGCTCCTGCTTGTATTCCCCCCGCAAGTTGTAATGCTGCCTAATCCGGCGTAATAAACATTGTCAAATGCGTTCACTCGATGCGGGAGCAAATCATTATTGACATCGAGAGACATCATCATCGCCAAACAATTGAAATGCAATTGAAAGGAATCGCGTACAAATATTTGCACTCGGATTCAGCAGCGGTTGACAATGGGAAGCCCTTCGAAAAGGATGCAAATGAGAGGATATGAAAACGAGGTAGATCCTGGCTTGATTAGACAACTCAAGAATACCAGAGAACTTGATTTAAAACAACATCTTTTCAAATGTACTTTTTAAACGTTTACCTATGTAATTCCCCATAGAGCTCATTTTTCATTTTTCGCTATATTTTGGTTTATTGAACACTTATGGTGAAGCCTTCCTTTTGTTTCTTTAAAATAACATATACCAAATATAACCCTTTTACCATAAAGCTATATTATTGCATACTTTCAGGCATGGGGTTAAGTGCAAATAAGAGAATCAAAAAAGTTAGCCAACACGTGTCGGAAAACACTGAACTCCTGCAGACAGACTCATCTCGAGTTGGTTATTAAAAATATTTTTAATTGGCCACAGATAAATATTTGCACACCTTTAACCCTTTTTAATATGCTTAAGTGCTGCTCTTTCCTGGACAGGATTTCCCGCTTTCCCTCTCTTCTTCTTTCTCTGTTGGTTTTTTGTTCTTTTCCGGTTAGTCCCCCCCCAAACCGCCGCATCGCTGGAAATCAGCACAGACAACCAAATGGAGCATACAGAGGATAATTCGATTGTGTTCAATTTAATTTTGACAAGCTTCAATGAAGCCCAGTACTCCCCTTTCCACCCTCGCGTCTCTGCCTTTGCATTTTCCCACCCACAGCAGTTGATTTGATTTTGTTTTATGTTTTTTCCTGCTCGCGGAGAGGCCAAAGGAATCCTGTTTTTATGCCTCCAGCCGCCCCTTTCGCAATTCCCTTTGACACAACAATTGCGTGGAGAATGGGTGTGCCGGGATTTTCCGGGGGAGGGGGGTTTGGTGGGGGGTTACGGCTACAAAACCCAGTTGTCGCAGCAAGTGGAACAAAGTTTTTGTGGTCACTTTTGCGGCTCACAAAAGCTAACCAAATACGAGAATAGTTCTCTGGGGGAAGTGGTTCATTGAAATGTTCTACTGCAGAATGGAAAAAGTTAAAGTCAAAAACTAAAAGTCGTTTCAAATAATTACAGAAATATTAATAAATCCGTTTACGCATATTTCTTTACGTTCTTAAAAAGCAGTAAGAAACTATATTTGAAAGGGTTCGTAAAATTATGAATCAGGAATATGCAACAAATAAAGAAATACAAGATGTGAGTTAGAAAAAAAAAATGTATTAAATGTTTCAATTTAAATGTTTTTGGCAAGATAAAAGATATTTTGCCTTTGGCAAATCAGAGGGTATTATGTATTATATTATTGGTAATATCTGTAGTTTAAGACCTTATATTCTTTTAGAGCCTAAAAGTGGTTGGCATTCAAGCTCGGCTTTGAAAAATTTAAAATATGAAGGGATTATTGGCTGTGTTAGCCCATATTTGGCACAGAACTTGTTGCACCAACAATAGAGAAGCCTCTCAATCCCTTCCTATAACTCACAACAATATTACATCAGAGGAATCTGTTTGGCCAACGAAGCCAAAACATTTGCGCAAAACAAAAAAATCAAAAAAAAAGTGACCAAATTAAAGTAAAACAAGAGGAGTCCATGTCCAAGAAGCTTGGCTGGAGGTTGGTAAGGTCTGCGAGTCAGTTTTCCGCTGGCTCAGCAACAAAATGCACCTGTGCACCATGGAATCCTTGGGCCAAAAGCAAACACACATGCCAACCATACGAGTGTATGTAGAGTGGGGAGTGTATTATATACGAGCCAAAACAAATCGAGCGACTTATCTCGGCTAAAACATCTCCCATTGACTTATGCACTGGAAAATGGAACAGTGGATGTTCCCGGATTGTGTTTGTGCGACCCACTCCTGCGGATTTACTGCTATATAGATACAAATATATATATATATCCATCTCCATCTCCGACTTCTTACAGCGATGGCCAGCCAAATGAGACTGGAAATCGGCGAATGGGGCTATGTAGGAATTACCGTGGTAGTTGCTCATAAATATTCAGAGAGCAACACCGATACACAGACACACAAATACTGTGGCAATGTGGGCGGAGCCGATGACAGCATAAGGTGTGTCTGTGTGTCTATGTGTGCCATTTTTTATGCGCTCCATGGCAATTCAAAACGCCTACTTCAAGAGCTCTGCCAAAATAAACCGAACTGAACAGCATGGGGCAACAACAAAAAGGGCTGAGATTCCACCACCAAAGTGGAAACGCTAGACGCATAGATTTGTGCTCCTGCACAGTGGCCTAATCAATTTAACCATGGAATTCGCTGTTCCACAAGGAATAAAAAAAAGTTGGGAATTAAAACTCCCATAAACAAAGCTTCTTAAAAAACCGATCAAGCATTTAAAGTAAGATATATTTCTTAAACTGGTAAACGATATATTATCAATAAGGTTACTAAATTTAATTACTAAGTTAATTACTAAGTCTGATACCTGACAAAATTCAAAAATTTTCATTTGAAGCTCACTACTTTGCGACCCACTGTGCCGTGTATTGAAGCTACGAAGCTTTCCCGGCTTGACTTTTGTTGTTGTGTGCGAGAGCAGCTGCCGGTGAAAGCAAAAACAAAAACAACACCGCTAAAGGGTGCCTTAGCTCTCTGCGCTCTCTCTCTTTCTTTCTCTCACGGACAAGTGCTTTCCCTTCTCCCCCACTTCCATTTCCACTGGCAATTCCAATTTCCAGCAGGAGCCCCCTCGGAGCAAAAACGCCATCAGCGAATGGCGTTCGAGCTCGGTTTTTTGGTTGTTGTTGTGTTGGTCGGCTTTATGGTTTTTGGCAAGTCGTTTTTATGTATGTAGGTGTGTGTGAGTGTGGGTGCCCCGGAATGGGTGTATGGGTATGGATGTGCGCGCGTCTCTGGCATTCTAACTGTTAACATCCAGGGAGCAGAGCATCGCATCCAGAGCAGAGCTTCCAGAGCAGAGACAACCCCCCAGTCCGTCCGGCAATAGTTAAAACGGATCCGGAGTTCAGTCGGCACCGTTAACTCTTTCAAATTGGACGCGAAAAGCGCGTTCGCGAAAATTAGTGAGCGATTTTAAGAAGAGAGCGTGAGCACAAAAACAAAGCCCTAAAGTGCGGACAGTGAATACTAAATTAAAAACAAGAATACATAAATTATAAAATTAATTATAAAATTTCTGGGAACTATCCCAAGTAACTTTTATAAATTATAATACAACATTTAACTTTGTATAAACCGGATTGTCTATAAAATAAAAAGATATCAGACAGTATATAGATTTGAAGGTTATATCGTACTTAAACTCATATAAACCGTAAAAAACAAATCCTAATCAAGTGGAAATCGGAGGTTAAAGGCACCTGTGCGGAGTTTCCGTAGTTGAACCCCCCAACGTGTAGTTGACCTTCAGGAGCACCCGCTAACCACCGGCCTTGCATGTGAGACCCGCCAAAGACCCTCTCCGGTCCCTGGTCGATCCAATGAAAATGGAAGATCCCACCATAAACGACACATACGTGCAGGAGTTCGATCTGCACCACCTGGAGGTGGGCGTCAACGGTGCTGGCCACGCCCAAGTGACCACCATCGGTCACGTGAAGCGCGAGGATCACAGTCCGCCGCAACCGGTGGCCGTCAAATGGACAACGATACACGGTGAGACCGCCAATCCGGAGGACGATCCCGATTCACTGCCTCCCCTTTCCGGACCCGAACCCGCCGGAGCCGTCGAAGTCTCGCCCTCGCCGCACATCAAGCTGCGATCCTTCTCCGGCCACCATCAGTGGCACATGGACGAGCGGCGATTGCAGCCGCTTTCCCCGCCGCCGGAGCAATATGGTCCGCTGCCGGGACAGGCGATCCTGGTGAACACATCCTCGGGAGCGGCGGCGGCAGCAGCTGCGGCCGCGGCAGCCGGAGTTCCCGGCGGAGTGCCCTCGACGCCGCCGGAAACGCCACCCGTTGTGGGTTCGCCCACGGGCAGCAGCAGCTGTCCCGCTCAGACATATGCCCACCATTACGCCCGGACGCCGGGCAGTTCCGTATCCGCTGCCGTTTCGGCGGCCGCTGCTGCCGCCGCTGCTTCCGCCGCCGGAGGCGCCTCGGTGAGTGCCGGACTGAGCCACGACATGATGTGGCTGACGAACTCCATACGGGCGGAGCAGCAGCCGCTGGACCTGCGACCGCTGGCCTATCCGGGATCGCAGGAGGAGGCCGAGGAGTGGGACAGGCAGCGGGATTACGCTTTGCAGGCGGCGGCTGCACATCATCATCATCACGGGCAGCCGTTGATGCAGGCGCAGCATCCGCACCATCATCCGCATCATGGACACGGCGGACATCCCCATCAGGTGGTGCTGCAGCAGGGCAAATATCCGCACCACCATCACCACCACTTCCACAACCTGGAACTGACGCCCATCAACATGCACTCGAATTCGTACGGGGGCGTGGCCCCCGGATCCCTAACGCCCACCTGTCTGCCGCAAGTTCCGAGCAATGGGAGTGGCAGCAGTGGAGGGAGCGGAGGCGGAGGCGGAGGTGGTGGCGTTGGGGGAGGCGGCAACGGTGGGAGTGGCAGCGGAGGACCGGGCAGCGTGGGCGGCGGATCCTGTGTGATCACCCGATCGGCACTGCAACCCTGTCGTCCGCTATCCGCCAGCTCGACCCGATCCTCGAACAACATGTCACCGCGGACCTGCTCCGGTGCCTACAGCAATGCCACGCTGGAGGATTGCCTCAACGACGACATGCTGACCACGTTGACGGTGCGGGAGCTGAACAAGCGACTCCACGGTTGCCCCCGCGAGGAGGTGGTGCGTCTGAAGCAGAAGCGGCGCACCCTGAAGAACCGCGGCTACGCCCAGAACTGCCGGTCCAAGCGACTCCATCAGCGCCACGAGCTGGAGAAGGCCAATCGGGTGCTCAACCAGGATCTGCATCGGCTCAAGCTGGAGTTCTCGCGGGTCTGCCAGGAGCGGGATGCCCTCATGCAGCGACTGCAGCGCGTAAGCGGAGGAGCAGGAGCCGGCGGAGGCGGAGGAGGAGGTGGCTCGGGTGGTGCCAACTCCGCCGGAGATAGCCAGAGCTCGCCGGAGTTCTACCTCTGACGCCAACTGGCGGCGGCCAGCGGCTCCTCCGCATCCTCGTCCTCCTCCTCGTCGCAGCAGCAGCAGCTGCAGCACCAGCAGCTCCATCATCTCCAGCATCGCGGTCCGCAGTGGAATCCCCAGCAGATGGTCAACTAAGCGGGGAAAAGTGTTCCGGGTGTAAGGTATTTCCCCAAAGAGTTGGGAGTTTCCGAAGGTTTTTCTTAGAAATAGTTTTAAGTGAATTGTTTAAATTTCAAGAATGTTTTACAAAAAGTTTCTAAATGTGCTTAGGTTTTCATCTAAAATAATGTTTTTTAAAAATATTTTTTATTACTCAATTTTCAAATGCTTAAATCATAATTGAAAAGTTACATTCACTCTTTCATTAAATATTTAATATAATGTTACTTGTTCATCGTAATATATATATAACGAAGCATTATCTTAAGTTTATCAGGATTTTCCCATGACCACCATTGTTGATATTTATTGAAGGGATTTTTTTACTATACAATCAAACATAACTTTTTTTAACCCTACCATTTTATTTTTAAAATCGTTAAATATTAGACGTCTTTCAAGGAATTTCGTAGAATTTGTTATTGAGAAATTGAATTCCACTTAAACAGAAATTTTGAATGGGGGTTTTTAGCGTTTGATTCTCTCTTATTTTTATTGCGACAATAAATTCCGATTAAATATCAGTTTGTGAACTTCGAAAGTGATCGACAGAGATTGAAATAGATAGGGAGAAATGAGAGAGAGTGCATGTTTGGATGGAACGTTTGCTGATTATCAGTCTGACTAAGGCAAAGATCGAGTATAAATAAAATTAATTCCAAATCGTATGTATAAAGGACAAACATTGTATAAAACAAAGGAACAAAAACAAAGAAAAGTAAACTAAAACTAGCAGCTTCTGATTAACAATCGCTACATTATTACAAATTACGAGTTAGTAACACACGCTTATTTGTTGATTAGTTCTAGCCTTAGTTTCTCTACTAGTATTAAGCGAGAGCAGAAGCGAATAATAATATCATAGATGCGATAGTTGTTCTTAGAGCCGTGTTTCCGTTTCCGTTTTAGCCACATCCCCCCTCCAATCCAATTCAGTAAGCAATAAAAATAACTAAAACTAAAGGTTGTATTACGTTTAAATACCGCAAACTTATAGAACCGCACTCGAACCGATGATGTTGTATAAAGTGAAACTGTAACGAAACGAAGAGCAAACTCAACTGAAGTAAACTAAACAAAAAAGTCCTATAAAATGTAATAAGCACTGAGAACGATAATGGAAAAATGTAAATACACCCACACAAGTACGTACGACTATATAGAAAGACGATTCTGTACATTTTAAGAATTTTTGAACGGATTCAAATTTCTGTCTTTGTGAAACTAGAACGAAAACTCGAATACCGAGTGCAAACACTTTAAGCTAATTTAATAACTAAAAACAATTGTGAGTAGTTGATAAGTGTGCATAAAACAATTTAGTAATAAATAAATCTAAATTAAAGCATAAACTTCTACTACTGGATATACTTTTATTGGTTTTTTGTGGTTTATAAATATAATTTCATTATTTGAAGTCAGATTGAAAGTTTAAACTTATTGAAACAATCCATCTGAAATACTGTTCCTACTTCAATGTTTATTTTTTATTCATATCTAAACTTGAAAAACTAGCGAGTGTTTCTTTGTTTTGTCATAGATTGGGTAAGATCTCGTTGGATTCCGAGAAGTCCGATTGCTGTGTGGTCTGTCGGCTTGGATAAATGGGCTTCCAGCGACGACGACCACCACGGGCAACACTTTAAGAATCAAAATAAACACAGCGATCCCTTTGGGGCCTCGGATAATTTCTGTCAACAAACTTTGATCGCGTAACGGCGCATGCAGGAGCAATCGGGGTCTTGGATCCGAACTGCAGCATTGAATTACAATCGGGAAACATGGAGATCAACATCGGAGGCAATCGCAATCTGCCTTGGAATACCCTACAAAATCTGGGGAAGCATTCAGATGAAGGCGGCGTAATTCGGCAATAAGTGGAGCTCCCTCCTGTAAATGTTTATTAATCCAAATTAACTTCCTAACGCTTGTTTGTTTTCATTGTATTTTCGATTTCCCTTTTTTTTGTGGCGTTCTCTTTTTAAACTCTGGTCTTGAATTTATTATTTTTATTCTGATTATATGAATTTCCTGTCCTACCAAGAACTTGCAGCCCGACGATATCGGTCGTCTTTGGAGTTTATGTAACCAGACGAAACCACTCGACGATCGACGGATTGCGCAAGAATTTTTGTCGAATTCGGGTTTGTTGTTTTTGTTCTTGGCCCAAGCGATGATGATCGCCATCAAGTGGCCATTTTACTTTGTTTTCCCTTCAGTTTCTTATTTATTTTTTTTCTAGCTTCATTCTCGGCAAGCAGGAAGTGTCGAATTTCGATTTCATACTGGACTTGCAATAAAAAATATAAAAAAATATGAAAAGCTATAGCCGAAATTGGAATTAAATGACAGACTGACGGGAAAGGGGTTCATTTAGATATATAAAATAGATTTTAAATAAACCTTCTATCAAATAAAACCATTTCTTAAAAAGAAAACTGTTCTGTGTGAAACAAACTTGAAATGTATAAAAATATATCTCTTGATTCCCCTTTTCACTTTCGTTGAAGAGACACTTCGACTTTTTGGCTTCCAGCCAATCCAAGATGACAATTTCATTTCCAATTCCACTTGAGGTCTGCGACATTTTTGGGGTCTAGCTTCAAGTGCAGATTAAACAATAATTATGGAATTCTGATGCAAATCACTGGCGACCGAAAGTCTCCTTGTTCCCCGACTCCTGTTTCATATTTTGAACCCCCTGTTGAAATCCTGGCTAAAAGGCGGCTTGAGTGGAGTGTTAGGAGTGGATGAGTCGGAGTCGGAGTGGCTGGCATTTTGTCAAATGAAATATATAGACACGGCAATGACAATCACTATCGGTAAATTGTCATGGCCATGGGGCTAAGTTCATCTTGGGCATAATCAGTGCTCGGGGGCAGAACCCTTACCAATAATCGTACCCCGAACCCAGGCTGCAAACCCAAACCAAAACCATATCGGACAACTGGGATGATTGTCGACATTATTATGGTCCGCACATAGACACACACTCTCACACACAAACACACACACACCGTTTAATAATGCTGCGCATTCGGGGCACTCTTTTTATGCCTGCACTGCGACGTGTGACGGCTTTGATGAGACAAATGCACTGCAAAAAAATACCCAATCATTAAAATAAAAACAAAATTAATTCGGAATATTATTAGAAATAAATTATCCTGACTGCTATACAAGTTCAAATAAATAAAGCTGTAAATAAGCTATTAAATTTTGTGCTAAAAAATATATTTCATTCTTAAAGAAATGGATTTATTAGTAATTAATTGAAAGTTCAAAGAATTTTTGGTTTTTCATTAATTTAGTTAGAGGTAAAAATTGAGACTGTTGGGTATCTTTTGGTTTATTGTAAGACAAGAAAAACTAAGTTAGCTTTTTAAGTAGGAACCATTTTTTTTTAGTGTAGCGATGTGTTTGGATGGGGACTCTTCGGTTGTCTTGTCCTGTCTGGATTGCGGGGTGGTGCGTTTTTTATGATGCTCCTCGAGTGGACGAGGATGACTACCAGCGACAAGCGAAGAGCGACACGCTTAAGTGGCTCGCACACGCCCCCCGCCCCCTTTTTGGTTGTCTTAATTCAATCGATAGTTCACACATGTAATCGCATGGCCGAATGATTGGGGGGCTTCTTCCTGCATTTTACTTTTACCCGGAGTCTACCCGATTTTCCGCTTTTCTTTGGGTTTGCATGCCAAACACGTAGCGTTGACATTGAAAAGGGGGAGGCAAATGGGCAGTGTGTGTGTTCGACTTTGTTCCTCTTTTCTGATCTGACTTTAACCTTAAATCGTTAACACATTAGTTTCCAGCAGTTGCCGCGTCACTCTGCTCATTAGCTTAATGAAGAGCGGCCACCAAGTCCCTCAGAAGCTCATTAGCTGTCGCTTTGTTTGGTCCTCGAAACTTTTTCCACCAAAATATGCTCGTAAATCTCGTTTTGGCAGCAGCGAAAAAGGGAAATTTATCGCGTCAAAGGACAAGTGCCAAAAAGTTTTCCACCGAAAGCCTATCAATCATTGATGTGTGTGGGTTTGTTTATAATGGGGTGAGATCTAAATCCTTAATCGTTTCCTTAAAAGAATGATAAGGATTAATATAACTCCTTTTTGAAAATGCAAAATTTACTTTCCAATAACAAAACTATTCTTTGAACTTTAAAGAAAACTAAGTGCACCAGTATTATTATTTATATTAGATTAATATAAAAAAAACATTTTTTTAGGTTTTATTTTTCATTGCTGATCACCGAACATAATCTCTACTTTCTCCTTGCAATCTCGACGTTTCTAATCTGTGGGCTTTCATCTTCCGTTCCGGCAAAGGATCTCCGTCCCCCTGAAAAAGCGAGTCCATTGTCTTGCGTTTTTTATTGATGGGCTGACTGCCTTGACTGTTTTTTACGACTTCACCCCGGCCGCTTGAATGGTGAATGGTGAATGGTCAGTGTCAGTTCGGTGTCATCCTCCTCCCCTCCTCCCCCAGCAGGTCCAATCTACTCCGGAGTCCTTCGTACATCCTTGGCCATGCAGAATGGTCGGTGGTCCCCGGGGCTATTTTCATACTTGGACATCCGTTTGCAATGTATCTTTATCGTTTTATACCGCTTCCGTGGCCAGGACTTCGACTTGGACGTCCTTCGGCGTCGCATAATTTCCGTAATGACCAATGATATAAATGGAACTCATTTGCCAGTCCCCGCGTTCTTTCGCTCCCCTGTTGTATTGCTGCGATGCCGTAAATCGCTTTGCACCCCTTCTCCGAAAATAACCAAGTTTTCCTGGACCTTCGCCTTTGACGACGGCGACTCCTTAACGTTTGTAATAATAAATTAAATCACATTTTGGTTTTTCCCTTCTACGGATACCCTTCTGTAAGGGGTTAATGAATAATGTATACATTTTAGATCATATCATCTTGTATTTTTTATAAAAGT